TCTCAAAAAATGAAATTCCTCTCCTGGCCTGTTTGAATTGTTTAAATTGACACATCCACAATCCTACATTAGTATGTTCTGGAAGGACCTTATTAGCAATAAACAGGATGCAGCATATGGAGATTCAATAATGGACTTAACTGGTTTTAATCTGTAATATAGATGGAATACAAATGGACCAGAGGGTACTGTTATCACAGACAAGACTGGCTGCCAATTTGGACATATGGACTTCCATGAACAAAATAATGCATGGATGATTCATTTTTGAGAAAAGTAGTTGGAGGTGGAAAGAGTACAGGAAGATTTGATGCTTCTATCTGAATACTATTATACATTTACAGCACAGCTTGAAGATTTAAACAGACTTAGAAACAAAAGATGGAGTGGGAGCAGGCCATGTGACCCAAGCATGCTGTCATTCAGTAGGATCTTGGCTAATCACCCTCCCACCATATCCCTCTGAACAACAGCCATAACTACCATCTCCTTGAAAATAATGTTTTGCCCTTATCCACATTCCTGGATAGTGAATTTCAGACTCACCACTCTCTGGGTTAAGAAATTTCTCATCTCCATCCTAAACAAATTACCTCTTATCCTTAGACTACGGCCCCTGATTTGGGACTTCCCAGTCATCAGGAACATCCTTCCTGTATCTAACTTGTCTAGTCCTGCTAGAAGCTTTTAAGTTTCTAGGAGATCTGCCCTCATTTTTCCAAACACTAGCGAATACAATCCTAACCGACAATCTCTCCTCATACGTCAGTCCTACCATTTCAAGAATCAATTCGGTAAACCTCTATTGCACTTCCTCTATGGCAAGAACATCCTCCTTCACATAAGGAGGGCAAAACTGCACATAATATTCCAGGCGTGTCCTCACCAATACCCAGTATAACTGCACTAGGACATCCTTGTTCTTGTACTTGAATCCTCTTGCTATGAAGACCAACATAGTTTGCCATCTTTACATCTGCTGCACCCGCATGGTTACTTTCCACAACTGGTGAAGGGCACCCAGGTCTCAATGAACACTCCTCCTTTCATGTGTAGCCAAATAGTAATCTGCCTTCCTATTTTTTTTCTACTAAAGCGGGTTCATAAATGTGAGGTTATCCATCTGGTTCACTAATGTCCTTTAGGGAAGGAAATCTGTCATCCTTACCTGGTCTGACCTACATGTGACTCCAGACCCACAGCAGTTAAGTTGACTCAACTATCACATGGGTAATTAAGGATGGGCAATAAATGCTGGCTTAGCCAGAGACACACATCTCCAGAATGAATTAAAAAAATGTAAAAATGAAAAATCTACCTACATTATTGCATTTGGCCACTCTCAGCCTGTCCAAATGACACCAACATCTCAGCAACCTCCTTAGTTTACTCTTCTACCCAGCTTTGTCATACGCAAGTTGAGATATTCATTCAATTCTCTTATCTAAATTATTAATACACTGAAAGCTGGTGTCCTAGTACTGATCCTTGCAGTACCCCAATTGTCACTGCCTGCAATTCAGAAAAAGACATTTACTCATTCTGTTTCATGCTTAAACAATTATTTCTCTCAATACACTACTCCCAATCCCCAGCACTTTAGTTTTACACATTAGTCTCTTAAGTGGGACTTTGTCAAGAGTCTTCTGAAAGTCCAAATAAACCACAATCACTGGCTCCCCCAAACAACTCTACTAGTTACAACCTTGAAGAATTCCAGTAGATTTATCAAGCATGATTTTTCCCTTTTGTAAACCCATGCTGATGTCTAATTCTACTGTTTCGCATTCCCCACCCCCCCAACCAAGTCTCTGCTACAAAATCCTTGATAATGGAGTCTAGCAGCTTTCCCACTACCAACATCAGACTCATTGGTTTGTAATTTCCTATTTTCTCTCTCCTGCCTCCTGTAAATAGTGGTATTATATTCACTATCCTGCAATCTGTAGAAACTGTTCATAGTCTAATGAATTTTAGAAGATACATCGACTATTTCTAGGACCATTTCCTTATAGTCTACACCTGCAGATTACTTGAAGCCCTGGGGATTTATCAGATTTCAATCCCAATCTCGTCAACACCACGTCTATACTAATATAGATTTGCTTCACTTCCTCCCTCTCATCAAACTCTGTTCCCCACACATTGTTCACGTCCTCTTTTTGCAACAGCAGAAACAAAGTATGGGATCTACATTAGGTATGTGAAGAGAAAATAGATTGGTGAGAACTACAGAACTGACTTAAAACGTTTTCAAAAATTCCCTGCAAGATCTCTATACATTCTGCTTTATCAATCCCTTGGTCCTCTTAAAAATTATGAACTACAAATGCTCAAAATCGAACAAAAACAAACTGAAGAAACTTCAGTCAGAAAGCCTAGTTAACATTTCAAGTCCAGCAACCCTTCTTCAGAATTGATGGCAGTTAAGAAAAGGTGGTATATATGCTGAAAAGTTAGTGGGGGGGGGGGGGGAAAAAGAGTGCGCATGGGAAAAGTAGTGGTGTGACAGCTGCAAGGTGAAAAGGTTAACACTAGGTGGAAATGGAGTTGAGAGAGAGTTTAGACAGACAAAAGGGATGGATAATGGTGAGCCAAGGGAAAAGAGTAGGGACCATTAGGTATAAATGGGTTGGATGTGGTGAAAGCAGCCAGTGTCATGGCAAGGCCAGGGGTGTGGGGGTGAGTAAAAGAACGTGGAAGGTGGTACTTGGGCCCTAAAGTTATTGAACTAGATACGGAGTCCTGAAGGCCACGCTGAAGGCAAGTGCAAAATAAGATGCTGTACTTCCAGCTTATGCTGGAGCACTGCAGCAACCCCAAGCCACGCACACTGGCCAGGGATGAACAACATCTCATCTCAATATCTGGTTCAACAATGATAGGGCCTGAACAGCACCTTTCATGTCCTTTACCCAACCTCCACATCACTGGCCCTGCCAGGACAAACACTGCTTATATTACAGCCCTTCCATTTTCACCCAAAAACAGAAATTACACACACACCCTTTTCCTAACTACCATCACTTCTGAAAAGTCACCAGACCCAAACCTTGACTGTTGTCTCTCCACAGATGCTTGCAGACCTGCCAAGTTTCTCCAGCAATTTCTTTTTTGGTCCTTGGTCCTCCTTTGACTTCTAAATTGTTCCTAAATCGTCAGGTCTATTGTTCTGTTCTTGCTTATGTATATGCTTTTTTTTTGCATCTAGTTTTCTTTAGCTTCCCGCATAAACCTTGGTTTGGCCACTGTTCTCTTTGCACACACGCCAAACAGGAAAAATAATTTTAGTTCTCCCATTTGCTTTTTGAATGTTTGCCATTGCCTATCTACTGTAATGCTTTTCAGTAACATTTGCAAATCGATCTGCCAACTCTCATCATACTATTGTCGTTTCCCTGAAGATTTAACTTCAATGAATTCCCAAATGCCCCAACTAAATTAAAATAGCTTATAAAGGTAGACAAACTATACCTCCAACTGAGGATATTAACACAAAAGAAACAAAGTGGGCTGATTCAAGGGAGCACAAGGACAGTTCTTCCTAAACAAAAGAATAACATCTGAAAACTTTCATTCAGGGAATGTTTTAACAACAAGAACACTTGAAACTTTCAACACAGATTTAAAGATTTTGTTAGATAACAGTATCAAGGCACATGGAGCAAAGACAGGTAAACTGATCTGAGGTGCAGACCAGTTGTCATCATCCCAGACCACTATAGGGTTAGCAAGAACTGCCGATACTGGCGTCAGAGATAACAGTGTGGAGCTGGAGGAGCACAGCAGGAACTACAGGGTTGTTGGCATAATCCCAGATACACTCAGTATGACGACTAGGGCTGGTTTAACTGGAGAGTCACTATACCACAGGTACCTCAGGAGAGGCACTGAGAAGGACAGTCCTTCATGGTAACCTCAGCCAGTGTGTGAATTGAAGCCATGCTGTTGGCATTGTTTTGCAATGCAAAACAGTCATTTCAGCCAACCGAGCTAACCAATACACCATGATCTAAATGGATAACAGTAGTTTCAAAGGGGCTGGATGGTCTGGTGATGTTCCTCTCCCATTGAAATTTGATGCATATGGGTAGTGCATATCTTCCAAATTTACCGCATTTGCACCAACATTTTCAGCGATTACACAATGGACGTTTGCAAAAAGCAATTTGCCAATTGTACATAATGAACTTCACGCTTGCTAATCAATTTACTTCAGTAATGAAGTGCTTGTGTCAAGGTCCAGTAAAACACCAATTGGTCAATTATCTCCCTAAAGACATTTAACACACTACTATTGTGGCAGGTTTGATGGAAAGTGAAAAGCAAACTGGAACGAAGTGTAATAGAAGTAGCTGCACTCTCAATCATTTTAATTGTAACAGCGTTTCAAAATCTATTTGTAAATCCCGTGTAAAAGTTTAACAGTTTATTGAGTACACCACTTGCATAGTCTTCGTGTTAAGGTATGTCAAGATTAGGGTACAGCATTTAGGACTTAACTGCAGGTGATCATGCTTTAAATGAGGTTGCTTTAAAATGCTGCTTTTGCTCCCTTGGTACGGTTTATTTGAAAACATGAAAAAGTTGCTGGCATTATTTGCCTGACACAGCTGGCTGGGAGCGGGGGTGAAGAACAAGAATGGTTAAATGCTGGAGATTATACTCAAGATTCTTTCCTTTTTTTTTGCCCCCTTATTTCCTCACCATTAAAAATACAATCTGCAATAAAATGATCCAAGTTTGTGTTATGAATGGAATACAAAGAACAAAGGCTTTCATGTTCATCAGCAGCCAAGTGATATTTGTTATTTTGATATTAAACAATTTGCACTGAAATTCTTGTTACAACACGAAGTCTACAATTAGTGTTTACTTTGTAAGTAATTAAGGAAATTGTATTTTGAAATACTGTCCCTTGAACACTAAAACACAGCTAGAAAAATCAGACTAAATTTAAAGCATTAAAACTTTGAATGTATCAACTTTGGATGAGATACCTGGGCGTCCCGCAGGATGAGCAGGTACAAGAACAGGTGATACAACTGTCTGCGATGGCACCGTTGTGTAAGTTGCCGACGTTTGGCTTGTTTCTGTCGAGTTCGAGGAGAAACCTGCAACAGGGGCTGAACAGCTGGATGTAGATACCACTGATGAATTCACCATCTAGGAGTAATGAGGAACAAATTTACGCAGCACACATCTTAAAAATAAAGATCCTGCCCAATTCTGAATATAAAAGTGTTTCAGCTGAATGTTATAAGAACTGTGTATACAGAATCTCCAATACCACGCTAAGCATGCATGCTTCAAAATTGCCAGGCAATAATCACCAGTAGCAATTTACCTATGATATGCCATTGCATTAACAAATACCTAAAGAATATTCTGGAGGTCCAGTTGTTGAATTGCTTGCCAGGCTGCTAAGTTTGTTTGTAGACATTTCATCACCACTCTAGGTAACATGAGGACACCTCTGGTGAAGCTTCACCGAAGGGGCACTGATGATATTACCTAGTATCGTAACATAACATCTCCAAACAAACTTCCCAGATTGGCGAGCAAGTCAGTCAACAACCACATCAACAACCCAAGCTACAAATCTTCTCAAAAACTTTGAATTCTGGAGGAGGTCACTATTGACCAGAAACTTAAATGGATACAGTCACAAATACCATGACCATGAGATCAGGTCAAAGGCTAGAGTTAGTGCACCTCCTGACTCCCTAAATGTTTCCATCAACAAGGCACAAGCCGGAAGTATGATGAATTTTTCCACTTGCCTGGCTGATTGCAGCTTCAACACCATCCTCTTCCAGACGACAAGCTTGATTGGCACCCCATCCACTACCTTAAAACATTCAGTCCCTCCGACACCACATTGTGGTAGCATTGTACACCATTATTGCAGTAACTCACCAAATACCTGTGGCAGCATCTGCCAAACCCACAACTTTCACAATGTAGATTTGGACAACATGCATGGGAAAACCACCACCTTCACGTTCCTGTCCAGGTCACTCATTACCTGGAATAATATTACTGACCCTTCAAAATCCTGTCACTCCCTCCTTAGAAACAGTACAAGTGGTGTACCTACACACAGACTGCAGCAGTTCAAGAAGCCAGCTCACCACCACTTTCTTAAAGGCAATTAGGTTCAGACAGCAAGTATTGACTTTATCATCCACAGGTCACGAGCAAACAATTAAAAACAAATCACTTAATACAAACGGAATAGAATACTTTCATCTAGGGTACACAGTGGCATCTTTGCACATTAGATCAGGTTATCAATTAAAACAGGGACTCTTATCATTCAGAATATGTGCACTCAAAATCTTTGATCATCTTAAGATACAGTCCAAGGAAACTGAAAAACCCCCAAAGAGAACTGTTACAGCACAGGAGGCCATTAGGTTAAGCAAACTACAAAATGTAAATTGACAAGGTCAGTTGCAGTTATATTACACCAATTAATTGGATGAGGCCTCATGTACACTATTATGTTGGTTATGATACACTATTAGGAGAAACATTTCTTTAAAATTCCTGCATCTATTCAGCTGAAGAAAGATTCAGCTAATCAGCTAAAATGTCAGAAGTCTCAGCAATCTGGGCGAATTCACATACTTTATATTTTGAAAATAGTGCTAATTTGCTCAGGCGTGAGCAAACTAAGTATTTATTTTACTTTTTTTGAATCACCCAATTTAAAAATTGAATGGATGAATCAGCAAAGCTTATAGCAAAAAGGGTCTTGTGTAACCAGGAACAAAATGGCAGGAAGTGTGTTAGTCATATTATATCCAGTTTTATATGACCTGTACAGCAAATATCTAACTGTACAAGTGTTTATAATGCAATTTCCAAAAAAAAAATCAAATGCCATGAGATTTGTACATCCATTAAACAGAAAACTATGAAATGCAACTTAAATTGTATTTAGTTTTTAAAAATGAAGTCAATGTGCTCATCCCGATTTAACACTAGATTACAGAGGGGAATAGAATCAATTACTTTCTTCTAGAAAGTATACCTGTTGTGAATAACTGAAGTGTGCAGCAACCTGGCCCTCCTGGGGTGACTCTGCAGCAGAACATCCTTCCTGAATAGACTATAAGATAAACAATGATCAGTTTTTGTTTTATCCATCACTTCATAGTGGAATAATTGCCCCAGATTAAGGACTTGATTAAAACAGATCATTAGCACAATTGAGATTGTGTAAAAATCCTAATTGAATTGAATGAAACTTCTGGAAAAATTCTGAAGGAGCAAATTAATTTCTATTTAGACAGGCAAGGTTTGATCAGGGGTAGTTAGAATGGCTTAGTCAGAGAGGTCATGCCTAATAAATCAGGTTGGAATTATGATGTAACCAAGCATGTAAGATGAATGCAGTGCAATTGATATGGGTTTATATTTAGATAATTTATATGGATTTCAAATCAAACCTTCAATAAGTTCCCATACACATGGGATCCAGGGTAACCCTAGCAAGTTAGATCCAAAATTAACTTAGACCCAGGGTGATAGCAGACGGCTGATGGAGCATGTTAACTACAAAAAACAAGCTGGTTAAACTGAAATTATTCTCTTTGGAGCAGAAATGTTGGAAGGGCCCTGATAGAGGCACATGAGATCGAGGGACACGGACAGAATGGATAAAAAGCAGCTATTCCCCTTAGTTGAAGGGTTATAACTGGGGCGGTACATTTTTAATGTGAAAGGCAGGAGATTAGGTGGGAATTTGAAGGAAAAATCTTTTCACCCAAAGGTGGGTTGGGGTCTGGAGAGCACTGCCTGGGAGGGTAGTTGAGATAAGTAACTTCAAAGTTTTTGAATGAGCACTTGAAATGTCAATATTCAAGGCGATGGGCCTAGTGCTGGAAATTGGGGCTAGTGTAGATTTGTAATTTTGGCAGTACAGACTATGGGCTAAAAGGGCCACTTCCATACTGTGTGAAGATCTGCTTCTATAAATTTGGGTCATATAACAGCACACATTAAAAAAGGTAAATTGTAATCAAGTTTGTGCTGCAGTGAACTGGAGTGCAGTAGCCTGATTATTTTGAACCCAAGTTCAACAGCTCAGAGTACAACCCCATGAATTACTGCATCTGCAATAACTCAGCTTATTGTAAAAGTTTCATTTTTGAGACAATACAGTGTGAGTAAAAGTGATGCAATTCAATATCACAATAAGATCTTAAACTGTAAGACAAATGACTATTTTAATCTATATGAGAATAGGGAAAACAAATACAAATACATTCTTGGAAATTAAATGCAAGATGAATTAGAAATAATTTACTCCTTCCCCTATAGTTAAAGATGTTTAACACCAGTTATAAAATAGATTGGAAGAGTAGAGACTGTTTTCTTTAACAAAGAAAAGGTTGAGATTTGGTTGAGGTATTCAAAAATCATGGAGGGTGGATGAGTAGACAAACCATTCCCACTAGCGGAAATGTAAAAGGGGCACAGATCTCAGGTTACTGGCAGAAATATTGTTGACGTGACAAAAAATCTTTCACATATGCCTGAGTGTGGAGGCGGTAGGTTCAACAAAGCTGTACAATTCCATCTGAATGCCACCTGAAAAGGCAAAATACTAAGGGGAGATGGCAAGGAAGACATACTCGTGAATTGTTTCTATGGAAGAGTCAAGTGGATGGGATGGGCCAAATGTAACAAGTCAGATTTTGTTCTGTGCCTCTAAACCACATTAGGTTCTTGAAATTCAAGCCAGGATTTCAAAATGAACTCCATCTGGTTGGCCAGTCTAAATATGAACTGCAGTTTATTTTCTTGTTTTCAGGACAAAGTGTTTCAACATGATTTTTCCTGGTAGATGCTGCATATGGTGAACAGTTCCATTCTCAGTCAGATACACTGGAGTAAATATGATGGAAGAAAATAGACAGGATTGCTCATACCTCAAAGTGGCATGACTGTTCAATGCCTGCTTATGATTGTTTTAAATTTGTTCTCCCAAGTGTTAGCATCAAGTTTATTCAGATTTTGATTCCTATCATCCAGAAGCCAGCTTTTACAGTCTACACAAGGCTTCTCCCACACATCTATCATAATCCCTAGGTAGCAGGATTCATATTTACACCATGCGTAAAAAGAACCTAGTAGATATTTTACCGACTGGCTTATAATTGTGACCTCCATTTTGCACTCCCCAGCAAGGAAGATCCATCCTTGACATTTTAGGGAGGCTGTAATTGTTGTTTAAGAAAGAATAGCAGTAAACCGGAGGATTGGGAATGATTTTGACAAGCACTAAAATGTTAATTTTTAAAAAATGGAAGAAAAAGGGTGAACTAACAAAGATTATAAAAACAGATGGCAAGAAATTTTACAAGATATACAAGTATGAATGGCTAGACTAAAAGTTGATCACTGAGAAATGCCATGTAATGAAGAAACAGAGTCACCGAACATATGTTTAAGAAGAAACAAGAAATTACATACCTGAAAAAGGTAACAAAGGTAATTACTATCATTAATCCCTTAAGTTTCTCACGAGAGAAAGTTTGAGAAAATTTTAAGGGTCTAGAAAACAAATATACAGGCCTGAGACAGACGGCTGACGTGCTCCAAAGAGGACAGCACAAGCAGGAACAAACTCTCATCTTCCACTTAGGGACCTTACAGCATTCAAGACTCAACATTTAAAAGTTTAATAATTTCAGAGTATGAACATCTCCTTCCTATTACTTACCCCCACAGCCTAGATCCTATCATGACAGTTTGCTTTCAGAAAACCAACCCATTTTCAACTAATCAGTGCCCTCATCATCACCTATCTAGCTTCACTTCTTCCCTGGCTTACTATCTACAATTCTTTTATTCACTCTTTAGGTTGTCCCTACTCATCTACTCACTCCTTCATCCCATCCCCTGTCATCAGTATTAATACCACTTTTCCTAGCTGCCATTATCTCTGAAGGGTCACTGGACTTGAAATGTTAACTGTTCTCTCTCCACAGATATGGCCAGGCCAGCTTAGTTTCTCCAGCAATTTCTGTTCTTGTTTGTTTGCAACTGGAGTGTTGATACTTAAAAAGAGAGAGTGAGAGACTTGGTTGCACTTGTACAAGGAACACAAGGTTAGTGTGCAGGTAGAAACAATTAGGAAGGCAAATACTGTCCCTAGTGCAAAGGGATTAAAGCACAAAATAGGGAATTCTTAGTACAATTATACAGGATTTGAGACCATACTAGGAGTACTGCGCAGTATACTCTCCAGATTTAAGAATTATACTTACATTGGAGGCATTACATCAAAGGTTCAGTAGATTGCTTCCCAAGTTGAGAGAGTTGCCCTACGACGAGTGGCTGAGTAAATTGTGCCTAAACTCTGCAGAAGAGAGAGGTGATCTCACTGAAATATACAAGATTCTGTAGGGACCTCATTGGGAGCACAGAGTTTGAGGAGTCTAGAACAGAGCCTTAGCACTGACTGAGGATAAAGTAATAGCCCATTTAGGATTGAAATATGGAGAAATTCCAAAGAGCTGTGAATGCTAGGAATTGTTCACTTCAGTGTTCACAAAGGTTTTATTGACGCATATACTTAAGGCTAAGTTAGGTTAGCATTTTTGTTTCAAAGGAATTTAGGGAAACAATGAGTGGGAAAGTGAGTTGTCAGAAGTACCCTCTCCCCACCATGGTTAATCTTTCTTTTAAAGCAGCCTTATTAACATGCATCATTTCTTCATGATTGTTCCAGAAAGATCTTTGCTCTTCTCTTATAGACACTTAAATAATACACGACATCATTATTATTGCTCCTAAAATCCTCGACCCTGCAAATCACATCCAATATATGCTCCCATTTTGCAAGTTTAATGCCTTAACGTGGAAAGCTTTCATCTGACTGGTGGTTCCTGAGGGCACAATATACTACTTGTGGACAAGATTTCTAGGGCAGTCTGAAAAGGAAATATACTATAAGAAGGGTCTAGGCCCAAAACGTCAGCCTTCCTGCTCCTCTGATGCTGCTTGGCCTGCTGTGTTCATCCAGCTCTACACATTGCTATATCAGTAAATCAGTATGTTGATGAGGACATATTTATGTACATGGACATAAAAAGGAAAAACTATTGAATAAGAAATAATGACAATCACACATTTTGAATTTTGGGCCATCACCCCCAAAACTGAAACTACAAGCATAAAGCAAATGATGCTTACTCTATTACATTACGCAACTTGGAGATTTAGTTGATATTCGAATTTAATCCAATATTTGGAAACTCAGGTAAAAGAAATTACAAAAATCATTCATTGAAACACACTTACAAGATTAGCTGTCGATTCTGTTGCACTATACACCATTGGATCGGAATATCCTGAATCTGTAAATGAATTGACTTTATATACATGTGGGAAGCAAAGAATCAATTATAATTAGAAGCCACAAGGAGCATTTGACTACATTATTCTGCAAAAAGTATACTTTAAATTCCTGTACAAATAAATACAGGGTAGAAGGAATAAACTTGGATGGTTTGGGATACATTCTCTTTCATATATAGACATCAAGTATATCTTAATTACTGAACAACCTTGTAATTGCTTAAATTTAGCCAACTATGAGAGAAAGGAATTTTGCATCCAGGAAACAGACAGGGAAAGCACACAATTTGCTCTTAATGCAGAATCCAAGCTAGTGAAAATTTCAGTTTTCCAATGAAAGCAGGAATTCCAATTCCTTCTAAATTTCTTACCCTGATGCAGATACATAAATTATTGCAGCTTTTGGTAGATGCCAATTTCAACTGTTGCAAAGTTTTTAAACGATGATCAAAATATCGCACTCTCAGATCAAACAATTAGTTTAATTGTGTTGTTAGAACTCCAGGAACAGACATCTCAAGCAAATGAGCACATTACAAAATATCTTGCTGCAGTTTACAACATTCCTCGCATTAGTTCAACAGAAGCCTTCAAACAGCACAGAAAAATATCACGAGTTTTAAAGTACACTTTTGAAAAGACAGACCATAGACTTGTACATTCTTAAAGCAATCAGATGTAAGCAGACAAATTAACCCATGATATAAATACCAGTAGGCTAGATTAAGAGGGAAAATCACAAGGATCCAATTTATCACTGAATGGATTTTCAAAAAACATTTGGGTTTCAATTTTAGACCTTCAAATCTACACCAACCACTTCTTGAAGAATGGGTAAGTGGAGAGATGAGATCACTAGATGATGAACTGGACCATTCAACCACATGAAAAACAAAGACTTGATATTCTACAACAGATAATTTATTTTGACTTGTTGAAACACCCCTACAGTATACAAGGATTTAAATATGGTGAAGAAAAAGTCAAGCAGATAACCAGTATATCAAGGCTGAACTGTTCATATGACTGGCGTTCATCATCTCTCAATCACCCAGATGATGTGGCTACAATCTACATATGCAACATAAAGAGTCATCTTTATGTCAACAGCACCTCTATCCTCTGCCAAGGAAGTTTTGCACTCTCTCAGAATCACCAAGCTTAGCATATTCCTCAAAATCATAAATTATCCTGACACAGACTTTTCTTGCCAGTAAATATTCTAGAATTCCCAAATAAATGTAATGCAATTAGAGGAATAAAATGAGCATTACAAAAATCTGAATACATGAAGGATGAACAATAAAATGTGGCCTAGTCAATAATGCCCCTATCTAGTAGAACAAAACTCAGCACAACTTCAAAATATTGTTGGAGAAACTTCTTGCAGAAAGAGTCACAAGATCTGCTAACAAGGTAAATTTCACTACATAACTTCACTATGAACTCTCAAAGTATGTGCCGTACTAACCTGATGCTGCATAAATAAAGTCTTCATGATATTCTCCTGAGAAAAGAAATAGTTGTCAAATTTGCTGCAACTAAATTTAGGTAGAGCTTAAGAAAATGCATACCATTTTCTTAACATTTAAGAAAGATTGCAATCTTTTAACTCAGTTACTAACTTAACAATCTGGTGTGTGAAATAAAATTCCCTGCAAGTAATCTGTAGGAGTAATCCGGTTTCAAGACACCCAATTCTGAATTGAATCTTGGAGTCTAGTTTATGCAGGGGAACATTTGCCAATCTCATATGTCACAGTAAAGTTCACAAATACACTATACACCCATTATCCAACTAGCAATATTGAAACCAGATTGCAAATGATCATTCATGGGATTCTCAAAGTGGAGAATTTGCATCAATCTGATTGCATCTACCATACATTTCTACTCACCACCATCACTTGGCTCATCGGCATCTTCAGAGGAATTGACGTGCTTGGCAACAGAAACAGAGCTTCCCCTTCTAGTCACCCAGTACCCAGCTGGAGCTTGTAAAACTGGAGGGGAAGCAGACTGATTCTGAAAATGACAAATAAGGACACAACTAGTTTGGTGAACTCCAGTCTTGGATGAATCATTTTGGAATGAAATTTATGAAGTTTTCGATGCTCAATGAAGTCAGGATCAAGCAAACTAAGTCCCAGAACAGAAATCCCGCAATACAACTAGAAATTAATGCCACATCTTGTTGGATAATATATATTGAACAGTGATAAATGCAGAGAAAAAAAAAAGTACAGCAACACAAGTTCTGCAAACAGTTATGAAAATCTTGTGCTCTCCCGAGAGAGCTGTTTCCCTTTCTCTACATGCCTCTAAACTACACTGAAGTACTATCTTGTCATACAGGTGAAGTGCAGCCAATTTATATTTTATGCATACAGTAAGTTCCCAGGTTAAAAATAGGTTCGAGTACATTTGTAAGTCAATTTTTATGCAAGTTGGAACACAGTACATTACAACACAAAACTGTTGTTTGCAAGTAAGTTCACGAAGCAGATCTGTAAACTTAACAGTAATTTGGGATCTTGCTCATAAGAGCGAGTGGCTGTAAATCAGATACTCAAATTGGGGACTACCTATACTGCGCCACAAACAATAAAATGTTCCAAGCTAAATACAGTTTAGAACAACTGCAATATTGGCATCTAATTAAAGTGGAAAACTGCCCAAGTATGCCTTGCCCACAATCAGAGCAAATCCATTCCAGCCAATCACAATCCCACCTATTTGCTCTCAAACATTTGCAATACAATGGAAGGTGCTGTTAACAACTATCAAGCATCAACTGCTCGCCCAAGGTTCACAGCTTGAATTGAGCCAGGACAATTTAGCTTCAGTTGTTGTTCCAACCTTGGTTCAAACAGGGACAAAGAAGCAGAATTCCGGAGAATAAAAAAGTGTTACAGCCCTTAATTTCAAGGCAGCATTCAACCAAGGGAATCATCAAGGAGCCCATTTAAAATTTGAAGTCAATTGGAACCAGAGGAAAGATTTTCCCTTAACAGTTGTACCTGATAGAAGGGAAGACAGTTGTGGTTGCCAGAAGTTGAACAGCTCAAATCTTGAGAGAAGTGTCCAAGTTTAACCATCTCTTCAGGTTCTTCATTAATCACCTCACCATAAGTTGAGAAATGGGGATCTTTGCTGATTGTACAATGCCTACTACCATCCATAACTCTTCAGATAACATTCCATGCCTGCATGTGACAAAACCTGGATAACATTTAAGTTTCAGCTGAAGTGTGAACTAAGTGGAGATGATCATGATCATCTCCAAGAGTGTAACCACCTCCACTTGACATTTAAGTTACTGCCCTTAACTGGGCCATGTAAAGCACAGTTCAACACCATCCACTCAAAAATGGTCTGCTTGACTGGTATCCTGGCGAACACTGGCACATGGTGCCTGAAGTGTGTACTATTTGCAAGATGCAATGCAGTAATCCCAAGATTCCTTCAACAGCTTTGGTCAAACCAGCAATCTTTATTGTTTAGAAGAAAAAGGTAGAGTCAACTATATGCAAACTGCCCAAGCTCCCAATTCACATACCACCCTGATTTGGAACTGTAATTGCTGTACCTTTACTGCTGCTGGGTTAGAGTCTTGAAACTCCTTGGGCTACACCACATGGTGGTTCAAGAAGGCTACTCACCTCCACCTTCTCAGGACATGTAACAAGAAATAAACTGCTGACTTGGTCAATGGTACCTTCATCCTATTAATGAACTTAAAATTATAGGTTCTTCAAAATCCATGTGAAAAACCAGTTGAATGGAGCCTAGGTTTACTAACTGATCTGAAGAACTGCATGTTTAACAATGAAGTCCTCGGTCAATACTACACAATCAAATGAGATTTAAGAAATGCAGCATCAACTGTATGGATGTTTTGTACAACTTCTCTTGTTAAAGTTTGGCTTGCATGATAAATTCACAAACTTGGAGGCGAAAGCTTGCCTGCAGAGCAAAGCAATTTAAGAAAGACAGTCACAGCTAGATTCAAGAATGTATGTTTCAGGAAATATAAAGTAGAGATGGCAAGTATTATGCCTTGTTTTACTCAATTTTGGAAAGTCACAGCAAAGTCAGCACTTTGTCTCTTCCTGCCCTTGAAATGGTGATCCTGAACTGTCACACTCCATGTTGAGGGAATTCCAGGATTTTGAATAAGCAATGAAGAAATGACTATTTAATTCCAAGTGACATGGGGCTTGTGTATCACTGATGATTTCAGAGATGGTGTGCCCATGCATGTTCTCTTTTACTTCAAAGTGAACGAGGTTAAGGGTTTGTAAAGTATTGTCAAAGTAGTTTTGGTAAGTTGCTGCCACTGCATACCAGCAACATATGAAGTAAATACCTTCAGATGGTGGATCTAATGCCAATCAACTGGGTTGCTTTGTAATGGATGGTGTCAAACCATTGAAGTGTTATATGGATGAGTTCAACAAGTAGAGAGCATTCCAACATACTTCTCACTTGGTTCATATTGGTGATGGACAGGCTTTGAGGAATGAATTGGAGAGTTAATTACAGCAGAATTCCAGTTTTGTGACCAGTCCTTGGAATCACAGTATTTAAGTTGCTGCTCCAGTTAATCTCTGATCATTGGTGTTAGGGCTGCCCGTGAAATAATGGCAAAAATAAAAAAGGGCCGATGATAGCCCCAACAAGCTTTACAGTGTATGTTCAGCACAAATTAGTGTGCGCGGGAAAGGCTTGTGTTCTTAGCACCATTTGTCGGTTTAAGACAGATGGGATGTGCAACATTCTTCGCCAATCCTAAAGAACATTTCCCACAATTAGTTGTTTCTCTTAAAATTTCTCTAATCAGTTATTATACAAGTAGGTTTTAATTAAGATTCAAGTTAAAAGTCAGTTATAGATTCTAAGATATCTCAGTTGAGAGATTAAAAAGTCACTAGAAAATATTAGAAATGTTTAAAATCTAATTACAAGGGGCTTTCCTTATCTTGTAACTGTCCTAATTGAGAGAAAATGTTATTGGTAGTCATGGAGAGCTCACTCTCCCACATATCAAAAAGGGCCCATTCAGATCATAGCAACAAGCAATTACTAATAGTGTGATATTCTGGAAACCCATAGTTGAACAACCCAGGTTTAGGGGACGGGGAGTATGGGCAGCCATGTTAATGTTACAAGAAAAGTGTATAAAAGACAATTTACTTGTATTTAAAATTACAGCGTCATCGACTTGTCTTCCAATCTGAGCTGAAGATTATGGGAGTAATCGGACCCTCACAGAGGCCAGATACGGGATAGTCTTTGCACTCTCCTTGCACCGGTAGATGCATGAGTAAATTACCATGTACCTTGAACTCTGCTCTCTCAATTTATTACCTCTAAACTTCCTCCTACAGTTTGTAACACCCAGGATGTTGGTAATGGGGAATCAGCAATGACAATATTTACTGAATATTAAGGGGAAATCGTCAGATTCTCTTTATTAGAGATTTTCACAACCTGGCACTTGAATAGCACCAATGTTATTTGTTATTTAACTCCCCAAGTCTGAATATCATTCATATCTTGCTGCATGCCAGCAAAGACTGCTCATCTCAGCAGCAGTGACTGGTACTCAACATTGGACAATCAATCATCGGTAAACATTATCACTTTGGCCTTGTGTTGGAGTGAAGGTCATTAATGAAAGTTGGAAATGTAGCACCCCTGCAGCAACATCCTGTCACAGGGATGACTGTTCTCCAACAAACTTCCAGTGTGCTCAGAATGATTTTAACCAATGACTTCCTAGTTACTGAGTTAACAGTGTTGAGCTGGGTTAGGGTCTAGGGTCCAGGCCCGAAACGTCAGTTTTCCTGCTCCTCTGCTGCTGCTTGGCCTGCTGTGTTCATCCAGCTCTACACCTTGTTATCTCAGATTCTCCAGCATTGGCAGTTCCTACTATCTCTGAAACACTTCCTAGTTACTTCAAGTTTTGCTAGGAGTCCTTAAATGGCACAATGCAATCAATGCAACCTTGAAATTAAAACCTGTGTTTCTCTCAAATGCTCTTAAAAGTCATAGTGGACTCAAAACTCCGCTTCTCTCTCCACAGATGCTGCCACCTTCACTTGCTAATACATGCTATAATAAAATTATAGCAATCTGTCAGATTGGAATTGCACTGTGTACACAAGACAGACTTTGGTAGATACCCAATGCCGAATACTGTCTGTTGCAGCTTGCCATAATTAATTCCTCAATCAGAGCTACCTAAGCTACTGAAAGGAAAATACCTGTGGTGGAAGAAGTGTTATCCAGAGACTGATGCTACCTGCTCTGCTAAGCATTGTTGATTTTAAACCAAAATATTAAAAATATTAAAATATTCTAGTTTTCACTCACATGTACAACAGGAAAGGGTGCCTCATTTCCTTCTTCAATTTCATAGAAAGTGACAGTTTCTTCAGTAGCTCTTGGTTCCTCCTCATTCTCTGTTATATAGCCAAACTGGCAATCCTTGTTAACATACTGAACGGGTTTGCGACTTCTGCTATAAGAATTGTAGAAAATAGGAAAAGTTCACAAGGTACAATTAATTGCACCATGAGATTATAGCAAACCTGATTACTTGAGGCATAGCATGAAGATTAAATAACCCTTTCTCTGAAATATGTCCAATATTACATGTTGTACATTACCCATAGTGAATCAAAACAAATCCTTTTGTTGCAAATTATATTTACACTTATTTAAATTTCCTTTTTGTAGAAACACCCCAAAATCCCTAAATTAATTCTGAAATCATTTCTTTTTATAAAAACCAGCTGCACAAAGTGTCATGCAAGGGTGCACAGCCACATCTTGACTCAAAAATACTCTTCAAAGCTGTAAAAATTTTAGCCAGCTAGAAGAATTGGGAAGGAAGAACAACATATTCAGAAGGCAAAAAGTCAGCATCATTAGGTGTTGATTCAACTTTTTCACAATTTGCCCTATCTCCTAATGCTAACAGATCCTTTATGAGAAAAGGTTCCAGGATCTAAATAAATTTGTACCTTCACCAAAATTATTCAGCCATACTTTTGTACTAGGTTTTGTCAAATCCCATCTGTTAGTTTGGGATATATTGTTTACAGACTAATGGGCAAAATGTTAAAAATACAAATTGCTGGGAAAACTCAGATCTGGCTGCTTCTGCAGAGAGAAAGCAGAACTAGTTTTTTGGGTCCAGTGACCCTTCTTCAAAACAATTACTTCATCTCTGTGGAGAAAATGGAGGCGCTCCCAATACGCCTGTTCTTCACTACCCCTCAAAATATGATCATCCTCAACCTTTCCATCTTCAAGTTACCCCACACTCTTCTCCATCAAGAAAAAGCTGGATTCCAGAGATGTGGTGCAAATAACTTCCCTGGGCATCAAGGCCACATTTCACTTGACTACAGAATGGGAGGACTGAAATATAATGAATAAATCATGAACCTTAAAAAAAGCAGAATATTACACGTAATGGCAACTGGAAATACACCCCTTTCTGATGAAAAGTCAGTTAAAAACTTAACACTTTCCCTCTACACAGCAGCAGCCAAATTTGTGGCTTATTTCCAGTTTAAGTTTCTGAACCTTTCAGATTAGCATCTGGATAGCTTTGGTAAAGACCTTGCAAACCAGGCATTTATTGAACCTTTTAACAATAGTATATGTATTACAGAAAATGTAAGACTACTATAGTTTGAAGGAATATTAGTAATTCCAGAAACATGCAAAGGGCAACAATTGAAAGGCATTTGTTTTGTACTTAAAATACTCAGCATAACCTGGAAAACTCTTCTCTATCAAATATTGAGCTACATTCTGCGCTTATTTTGTTATTTCCACAATTCATGACATTTGAGTGTTGTGCAGAAAAGTACTCATCTCACCCATGACCAAATAGCTGGAATTCTGACTTTATGGTTGTTTAATTTGGTACTCAATTCAAAACAATAGCTTAAACATATTACCGAGATCTATAGGTGAAATTGTCATAATGTTGATAGCATCCCTTTCCTGAGCCAGAAAAGCCATAGATGTAGTCAGGATCAACAAAGCCATGTTGACCCACAAATCGAGTAGCCTGATTCCTGGAAAAGGAAATAAAAAACGGTTTTTACCCTCAAACACAGTCTTAAATTTCACAACGTAGGGAAATATTTCCAAGCTGGTCAAATTTCAGTGATGACTGTTTGCTCATTACTTCTACTTCCCAGTCTAACACCCCTTAGTAACTGACTGAATTAAAAACATTCATTTCATGGTGCACACCACATAAACGCCACTGTAACAAAGGTTCTCTCTTGGACCAATAATACTTCATCTATTAGTCTCAATTGAACATGTTTCATTGAACATTCTAATGAAAACAAAGGCTGACAAGTCCTCAACTGCATTCCTTATTACACATGGGGGCAGGGGGTGCATTATGTCCGCTCAGAGGTGTATTGGCATTTCATTGAAATAAAAATCAAAATTTGAAATGGTACGCATGGCCAGTAGGAGTCTCAGCAGTAACAATGCACTCCCTCCACCACCAATGCATCATACAGATCTGAACCTTACATTACAATCCTAAATACTCGCTGTTTACGAACCGGGATGGAGCATAGTTGTTTCTTCCATTCCTTTGAGGTGGAGGAGGGACCCTGTACTGGTCATAAGGAGCAAAATTGCCACTTTGAGTTGGAGGAAGAGAAGATCTTCCAGAAGGAAGACTGTGCTGCAGACGTGGAGGAAGCACAGACTGACCCCTTCCATAAGCAAATGCCATAAAAACCTGCTTTCCACGAATCTTCTTCATAAATCGTCTGCGTGACTTTGGGTCAAGGTCTGCAATGAAGAAACATTAGCTAGTCAAGAACAGAACTGAAAAAATGTTTAATGTTCAGTTCCTTAGAAAGTTTATCAGTAAATTTCACCTGTATTGTTTGCTCTTTCCTCAGTATAATATCGTTATGAAAACAAGTCAGATTGAGTAGAATCAAAACCAAATAATTACAGAACCAAAAAAGTGGCAGAGTGGAGACTAGTTAGGCTGGAATTGCACTAAGTACAGAGCAATTAAAAATATAATACCCATTTAACTACCACCTTATTTTCAAAGAACTAGTTGGTAACAGGTTTATATTGAAGCCAAAGGAAATTTAGTGCTTTGTGAGCTGCAAGGCTCCAGTCATAAATCAGTAAAGTCAAGTTTCAAGATTTTATTATTGCATTCTCCTCTTTACTAACCTAACTCAGAAACATATCCACTAGGTATCTTCTGATAGTTTCCACCTTTTCTGTTTGAAACAATATTCCAGGCAGGAACCGGTGTCACTTGGGTCACAGGCTTCAGGTTTGCCAAAGGAACAGTGTGCCTGGGAGTAATTATTTTTTTCGTCACAAGAACTTAAAGATAAAACTTAAACATTATTCTTTTAACAAACTTTGTATTTGAAGCACATGCAATACCATTTGCATTATTCACCTAACACTTCAAATGGTTTGGACATCATATCCTCACATTCTTCCCCTCCGCCCCAAAAAAAAAATGGGCAAAAAGACATTCTAAAAAGCTAACCACAAACTGGTCATCCTTTCCAGAAGTACAGGAAGGAAAAACAATGAGAAGATAATAAAGTTTTGTTTTTTTCCAGTTGTACATTATATTTCTTTTACTCCTGGAAGGAGTATCGCCATGCAGCAGCATGATCCCCCACAAGCAGCAGCCATCCTCCAGTTCCTTGCTCAAGCATATTTCATACATGCTAATTACAGGGCACCACAGATTTGTTTTCTGTTCTCAATCGACGCACTTCCACCTGAAGTCGGATTGCAAACAAACAGAAGAACTGTTCAATAAATATATTTTGGGAGTGCAAAGTTGTATTTCCACACAACTGTGGAACTGTACAGCAAGTCCATCAACAATTTTAAATAAAGATAAGGTAGTATTTAGGTATAACAATTTAGCACAACTGAAATCCTAGATTAGAAATAGGATGGAAAAAGGGAAGCATACTACCCAGAGAGAAGTTAATTAACTAAACCTCAAAAGTCAGTTCAATAAAACAAATTTAATATAAAATCCACCAAAAACAGACTAGTCAAGATTATTTAGCGGATTTTATTTACATTTAATAATTCACAAAACTCCTCAAACTATACCTTGGGGTGAAGAATTGTTCTGACCCATTATGTAGGCATGCCTATCAAATTTTTCTGCCTCAGTTTCCTCTGTTGCGATCACTCGAGTTTTGCAAAAACTTCTCACACCTACTCATAGGACAACGAAAGAACAGCTCTTACCAGTAGTATCTCTTGGATTCTGGTTTCAGTTTATTCACTTTTCATGAATAAAGATTGCCCTACTCTCTACTTCCACCACTTGGAATAATGGCTACATGTTCCATCTAAGCCATCACCTCAATCCAAACCATTTAATAATCTTTAATTAGAGAGGTCCCTTCCCCCTCCCTCATTTCTGAAGAAGGGTCCCGACCCAAAACATCAGCCTTCCTGCTCCTCTGATGCTGCCTGGCCTGCTGTGTTCCTCCAGCTCCACACTTATCTCTGGCTCCAGCATCGGCAGTTCTTACTATCTCTCAGCATTTAGCCTTGTTCATTTTTAAGCATTGCTCATCTTTCAGTGACCTTTTCTGCATATACAAAGCATTGCTTTTCCACATCAGAAGTTGCTGGATCTAGTCTAAGTTCATTCTAGATTTTCCTTTTATTGAAAAAAAAGCATTCAATTTTCAAACACCTGATTTTTAAAAAAGCCTGATACAAATGCACTTTAATGGAGCAGCCAGGAATCAAACTTGCTTTAAATTCTTCCAAATTAAGTTACATCAAAATCAACAAACTTTAAAATACAAGTGGCTATTCAAAGAAAGAAATCCTACGACACTGATCAGACAAACAATCCCAGCCCAGATACAAGAGTCAAGTAGCAAAAAAAAAATTAACAAAAAAGGACAAAGATTGCAGCAAACTATGTTAACTTACTATGAAAGTGCAACACCAAGGCTGGGCAACAGCAGACAAACATTCCACTGCAATTTGCATTAGGTGGTGCAAAAGAATAGTTAATGAGCATGGAGATCACCAGCAACCACTTAAATAGCTTGCAGCTAACATGAAATGGAGGTTCAACTTTACTGTGGGGAAAAAATGAAGCAGGAATTCAAGAATCTAGATAAACTAGCCTCATCATGGTTAGTACATGCTTCGGATGGTGCAAAATAGACCTTAAAACAATAACTGCTGCAAATACTCAGTAGCTCAGGCCGTATCTGTGGAGAATGAAAAAGAATCTCTCAAGGAAAGCTTTGCTGACCCGAATCATTAACTTTCTTTTTCCTCAAATTATACCGGATTTGCTGATGAATCCCAGCATTCTTTTTATTTAAAATCACCAATAACTTTACCCCATTACTGGAAATGCTAATATATGTTCAGCCACATTTTACAATACAACACTAGATTGGAGCTTTAAGTTAAAAACATGGAAATTTTAAAAACTTGAAACAACTTCCAAGTTGGGATGCTTTCATGTTTTACAAAAGCTACTTTTGAAAAAATGGAGCAAAATTGACAATAGTGGTATTAGCTTCAAATACATTATAGCACTGGCATAAAAAAAACTGTTAATACAAGTGCACTTGATTCAATATCTTTCACTTTAAATTCCATACCATGCTTTACCATATTAACATTTTCATTACTTTCACCCCCAATCCAAAAGCAATCGAAAAGTCTTGCAAGTTTGGCCTTAGTTTGTTTTGGCAACTGCAATCTAGCAAAATGCAGAAGATTTACAATTTGGTACAACTCATTAGATTTCTTGCTCTCAATTAAAATATGTGCACAATTTAAACAATCAGGTCCACTACTGAGTTGGAAACAAATGCAATTCTACTTCACCACATTATATGATCAAGCAATATTGCAAAAAATGCTGCTGTTAATTTACAGATGCTGAACCAATAAGCACTGTAGCAGTCAGAGAGAATAAAGGCTAACTTTTCAGCTAGTTCTTCTATGAAGACTGTCACCGAGTTGCCATCTTGGCCTGCTTCTTGTATATGAGCATTGTAGTATTTGTCTCCTTGCTCAAGTTTCACCTGTAGAGGGATTAACATTTAATTTTTAAAAAATGTTATGATAAAAATGATCCGAGCTCCTTAAACATAAATGGAAGCAATGACTGGCTAAGAAACTAAGCGTCCTACAGCAATTCAGCTTTTAATATACAGGCAGAGCAAAAACAAACAAAAATTGCTCAATACAGAACTGTGCCTATATTTGAAACAGAATATGGAAGTTACAATGAAAAATTTCTGGAGATCACAGGTCAGGCAGCATCCAAGAAGAGAAAGCAAGCTAGCTAATGTTTTGAGTATAAAGGACTCTTCATCAGCTCTGAAGAATCACCTGACTCGAAACATTAGCTTGCTTTCTCTTCAAGGATGCTGCCTGACCCGCTGTGATCTCCAGCATTTTGTTTTCAGTTCATGAAAGTTAATGATTCTTAAAACTAACTTTAAAAGCCAAATTCAGCAATTATTACATGATTTTCCCATTTCTATCCATTGACCATCTCCCCAACTTCATTTAAATTATTATAAAGATGGTGATAAAATGCATTTCCACCAAGTTCCAAAAATCAATCTCAGTCAAGGAAGAAATTATTGGGACAACTGTGCACATTGAAGTGACACTGCCACAAAAAAGGCTTTCAAGCTTGTGTATTTCAAACAAATTTCAATAAGCTATTTATTGTCCAGCACCTACGAGACCAGGAGTGTGCCAACTGATCAGATATTCTGGATAATCAAGAAGCTCACAATCAATTAACACTACATAACGGAAATGTGTATACCCCTGTATTACATTACGTTTTATTTACAGCATATAGCACAAATTATAAATTCAACTTTGCCTTAAAACAAAATTTACTGGCAGAGCCTTCTCACTTGCATTGCGGTACATTGTGGTATTAAGGAGAATTTGACTTGAAATTGAATCAACTTGATATTTTGCGTGGCCATTCTATTGAACAAGTATATTTATATTGAGGCAAATTATTATTATAGTTTCATAAGTTATGTGTCAGAATAATACAGAACTTTGCAGTATTTGAGGCATATAATTTGTCAGTTAATCAGGAGTGCCCGTTAAAATAAAGTTGGCTGTATTTAATCTGGTGATCCAGCTGCTTCCAAACAATTTCTGCACCTCCATTCACAATGGTTACCTGCAAATTTCTTAGTTGTCATTTATGGGACTGTGCTATAAGCAAAATGGCTGCTATATTTGTTGCGTTGCAGCAACGGTTGGCCATTAGTAATGTCACAGGAAAAAAGTTATATAAATAAAAAGGTTTTTTTTTGCAAAATGTCGTACTTTGATTGCGATTGTTGCTGCTAATTTAATAAAAACAGGGGACAGGACAGGCGAATTCTGGACTGCCACAACTTGCAACAGCTTTAAATGTGGTGGCCAGGAATAATTTATTTTCCACAAAAACAACTTTAAAAACAAGCATCTTCAATTATTAAAAAAAATTATTAACATTGCTATATGCCCCTTGATAACTCACCTGACATTTGTCACCTAAACAATACTGCCTTCCAGAAACCACCATATAGTCCACCTTCTGCTGCTCTGTAATAAACATATTGCTTTGTGAAGAAAGAATATAGGTCATCTTTATAGCTAGGTTTCCTATAAATCCTCAAAGAATAAACACAATTTGATCTAGAAGCATGCTTTAAATAAAAATAACATTTAAAAATAAGGCAATTAAAGTGGCTTAGTTTCTGATTAGAAATAAGATATGGGATATTATGAGCAGAAAATTCTCTACCTGCCCCATAGCTGTCCCAAAATTTTTGTGATAACTATTTATGGCTTATACCTTTTCTGCTATCGAGCCAGACATCAAACTCCACATTGCGATAAATTTCTGAATCCAATGCCTTCAATACCTTAAAGGGAAACGGCATCTTTGATGGGCCATCAACATTCTGAAATACAAAAGTTAATTCAATGTTGGAACCAAGTCTTCCAACAAATATCACCACATAGCTTATAATTTTGGAAGTATTAATAGAGGAATAAAAGCTCAATGTGCAATCATAACTCTTGGCCCTAACAAAGGGGTTCAAAATTTTCAATACTTGATGTGTGGTAGAGCAGGCTTTTGAAACAAATTTCATCAAAAGGTTGAAAATGAAACTGGATCATTTTCTCAATCATAACATTGGTGGTCATAAAACAATTATTCTTGTTCATTTAAGTACTGAAAGGTAGCCTTTTTAGGCACTTTAACAAAGACCATGCAAGCTGCCTGGAAGCATGAACCAAATTGTCCTAAGGTAAATTAATCAAGAAAATTTATCTGACATAAAAATCAAAAAAGGTGGATACCAATATCTTCAAACAATTTGTCCTATTTTGCATGCTTTTCAAATGAAATGACTTTGAACTATTTCAAACAAACATTTAATCTGTTCCACCTTAAATCTCCAAAAGAGAGACAGTCTTTTCAAACCAGGCCTAACTTCAGAAGCAAAAGAGATGGGAACACATTCAAACTCAAAGCACTAAATGTGCAATGATTTAATTACTCAAGCACACACTGGGAGATAAAATCAAAGCATACATTAGAAGATCAAGCAGATTTCTGGCTGGACATAGCAGCATTATCAAGAACATTTAAATGTTGAAGCAAACTCAAGGCATTCAGATATAGCTAAACTGTGGCCATCTAGACTGAAGCCAGTATTTCACTTTCTCCAAAACCAACTTCCCAAACAATTTATTTTTCACTCATGTTGCAAGACACTATTTTTACAAAATGTACTGGCCATACAGAAAACTGCAGCAACTGCTTGTTTCAATTCTGAAACTTTAGTAATGATGTGCCACATGAAGTGGAAGATAACATTAAAGTGCTTTAAAACAAGTGAAAACAAGAATTTTCTATAAAGTTGGACAAGAACAATTACAGATAATAAGATCATCATTGTCCTATTGGACCATAGGAATGCTCTCTCATTAGATAGAGATGAATGGTGGTGGGTTAATCTGAGGGGAGAGATTGAAAATGAATGACATTATTGTCATGTGTTTTAGCGAGAAAAACAATAAAATCGATTAAAAAGGATTTCAACTGTCACCATTTTGAATAGTTTCAAGAAAGATAGATATAGCTCAAAGAGAGACTTAGGAGAATGAACAGATCCAGAAAAAACACTAAATTGCAAATGCATGATGCTCCAGAACAGAAAACACCACTGATGCTCAAAAGGAAAAAACAAAGTAGGAACTGCCAGAGAAAGTGGTGGAGGCTGATACCATTACAAAATTTAAAAGGCATCTGCATGGGTATATGAATAGGAAGAGTTGAGGGATGTGGGCTAAATGCTGGCAAATGGGACTAGATTAATTTAGAATATCTGGTCAGCATGGAAGTGTTTGACCAAAATAAAAACCGAAAGACCTGCAGATGCTGTGAATCAGGAACAAAAACAAAGTTGCTGTAAAAACTCAGCAGGTCTGGCAGCATCTGTGAAGGAAAAAAAGTTAACGTTTTGGGTCTGTGCTGTACAGCTCTAGGACTACGAAAGCCAAAGAAAATGCAGCCAAGGTCCAACAGAATACACTAAAGAATAGATAAGCAGGAAATACAGCAACCTGGGCAGCCACTATGTGCATGGATTCTTCAGGGCAGTCAAGAACATACACAGCCATAAGCACCCATCCTACAGATAGGAGAATGGACTGTTGCTTATCAGAGGAGGACAGTCAGCATTCGCTGTTAAGATATCAATGCAAGTGCCCTTGACCACATTCCACATCATGCTGCCTGCCACCCCTTCAGCACAACCCCAGCCTGATGTGGTTGAAAAAAAAAGGTCAATCTGACATCTGGGAATCAATAAGGCCACCAGTGCAGTGGAATTCCAACCAAATTACTTAAATCTGGCAGAGAAACACTCTTGGTTCATCATCATTCAGAAGGCGGCGAGCTTGCCAGACCGGAGACACAACATAATTGCAACCATCAAGAAGGGAGACAAAGCAGATTCAGTGGTAACAGAAAGGCACCTTTGTTGTCCACCAAAGGGCAGGTCACCACAAGAATCCTCAAATTGCCTCCTACCTATGACTGAAGAGCTCCTACCAGAATCACTACAGATTCTGTCCATCAGGAAAGACACTGGGCAGATGATCACAGCAAGCCAAGTTCAACGAAAACAGATATTTGTATTTTTTTCTGAAGGGTCTAGGCCCGAAACGTCAGCCTCTCTGCTCCTATGATGCTGCTTGGCCTGCTGTGTTCATCCAGCCCTGCACCTTGTTGTCTCGGATTCTCCAGCATCTGCAGTTCCTACTATCTCTGATTCAATTTGTATAGGAGGTCTATTCGTTTATTCAATTCATACATTTCTAAATTTTAAGTTTATTAACTATCCCAAATTCCTTTCATTATGAAGTTATAAACCCTTGATACCTTTATTTCTTCTGCACTTGGTTTTGCCATTTTCTCCTCTGGTGAGCCCTCCTGATCACTATTTCCTGTGTCATTCCTCCTAAAACATAAATGAAAAGTTTTTGATTGAAGTGTGAAACAAAATCATGTCACCTCAGAACTGACAGCAATGTAGAAATCTTTGTTTAACACAAATATGCGCTGACTGATTCAGGAATAGGATCCACAACCTATCTGCCCAAATCAGAGGATAAGTTGATGAGCAATATCTTACGTGAACCGATCTGATGAAAAGTTACAATTTAGAGTAATAATATTTAGTCAGATGCACTTAGGTCAATTGACAGCTTAATATCCTGCAATAACAAGAATACAGTATCCTACCCAGTTTAACAGATGACCTTGCCGGATGCAGGCAACTTCTGTATGCTGAGTTTTTAGCTACAACTTTTAGGGCACTTTACCAGGGTTGCAGCTTTTACTGTCAGAAGTTAATTGTCCCTATTTGAAACATAATAACTTGAGGGGGTGGTCATTAAGCTTATTGAGATGGCACCATAACTTGATATGATTGTGGCTGATCCTCTTTCTCAAAAGTTGTACTCCAACTTGCACTATATCACTTACTGCCTTAAGAAAGGTTTCTACAGGCTAAAACATACAGGATTCCATTGGTTCACCACCTTTTGAGTGAAGAAATTCCTTCTCAGTTCAAAAGAGTCTATAACGTATCCAGAGACCGTGAACTCTTATTCTGGATCTGTGGTTAGAGGAACCAATCCCTGTATCTAGTTTGTCCAGCTGTGTTAGAATTTTGTGTGTTTCAAATGAGATCTCGTTATTTCCGCATTATTGAATACATGAATAGGATCTCGTAAGTGAAAGCAGTTTTAGTATCAAAGGGCAAAAGTATTGATGCAGGGTTGGAGGGCCGAAAGGCCTGTTCCTGTGCTGTATTTGTTTTGTTTTATTTTAAATCGCAGTGAATTCAAGACTAGTCAACCCTGCAATCTCTTTTCATACAGGAAACCTACCATCCCAGAATTCAGTCTGGATGACCTTCATTGCACTCCCCTCTGTAGCAAGTGCATCCTTCCTGAGATAAAGGAGACCAAAACAGCATAGCCTACTATATGTAAAGCACTACGGGTGCACTCTCTTCAAGGACCTAAACAATTGCAATTAGACTTCCTTGCTCCCATACTCAAGCCATTCTGCAATAAAAGCCAACTTAGCATTTTGCCTTAACTGCTTTTTGCAGATGATTGCTTGCTTTCAGTGACCACTGTACTTTAAAATCTCCTATCACTATTTAATTACTGCTCTTTATTATTCTGTTTTTCCTAACAGAGTGGGCAACCTATCTACATTATGCTACATTTTATTTGCCCATTCAAACTAAATCAGCCTGAAACCTCTATTTTAATTCTAGGATAGCCAAAAGATCCAACTGCCTTTGATAAGTATGCAAAATTTGTATCATTATGGAGACATCCAAATTGATTTACAAATTTACTTAAACACTTAGTTTACCCAGTGTTGCAGATGCCCTTGTTTGCATAAATATATAAAAGTGAGGCATTAGACCTCAAAAACCATTCCACCATTTATTGGGATCATAGGGTATAGATACATCTTCATATTCATTATTCTTGGCTAACATTAATGTTATCAATTATCAAATTTAGTCATTTGAGGTAGTATCCAACACATTTCCAAAGAGAACACACTATATTTACCGGTTTGTGTTGTCCAACTTCTCTCCCGAATGATCTGGCTCTGATTTGAAGGTTGCACTCTCCAGACTCCCCTAGATGTTTCTCTATCCAACCCAATTCATTTCCAAATCCCAAAATCCTCAACTTTAAATCCTCTGCACACCAGGGAGACACGCCTGCTCGAATATAACCTTAGAATATAGCCATTGGGGCCCTAGTGAGATGATAGTGATTATGCATTGCACTTCTTCAAAATCCATTATACCCATTATCAGATGCAGTATCGAGCACTGTATACAATACCCCAGAGGTGGTCGATCCAAGGCTTTGTATAGCTGCAGATTAAATCCTTCCTCTTTACATTCCAACTCAATATAAAAGCTAACATTCCATCAGCTTGTTCTTTTTTGTAATTTTTGCTATGAATGCAAAGCTTATAGAAAGTGATAATGCATTTGAATTGGTCTCTTAATTCCAGCATAAAAGGGATAGTGAAGAGAATGATGTGGCCTGCTTCAAATTCTGCCTCAAGTCATCTGCATGGCTCAGTGATAATGGGGGAATAGAGCAGCCGAAAGTGAAACTTACTGGGCAAAATATTCACACTTTAAATGTAAAAGCAGCTGGCATCAGGTCTAGTGGTGCTTTGGCTTTGTTTGATACTCTACAGCATCTCTCTCTTCCAAAGAGCCAATCAACGTCACTCTTCAATTATACTGCTTAAACCTTTAGAAATGTACCTATATCAAACTGAAATGGATTTCAACTATTTTGGCACATCTCCAGGTAACAATTTTACAATGGCTTCTTTAAGCCTCAAAGAAAAAAAGATTAATCGAGCTTTTAAAAATTACTCTTGTTGTAGCTATCTTTCCAACATTCTTGCTAATAGATATCAATTACAGCAATATATCTCATTGTTTATTTGACTACTAGTATTACTGAGTTGTGCGCTGGAAAACAAAGCTAACCAATGTTGCAACACTTTCCTCAAAAAAAGGAAAGTAACACCTGTAAATCAGATGTCAGTCATAGTTGGATTTTTCTGGGAAAATCTTTAGTGACCAAAACCTCCAGCTCTAAGATTTCATCCTAGGACCACAAACAGCAAAACTAGACACTAACAACTTCTCTCACCCTAATGATTGTTAATAACAATCTTTTTAAAATAATAATGCACTCCAAATTTACATACTGCACAACTTTTTCAGGAAGATATTCAGTATCACCATTTCCTTTAGAGTTACTGCTCTTTCTGGTTTTCTTGCCATGACTGCGGAACAATTCCACTGCAGCTCGTAGTTCTTCTTCATCCACTCCAAAGACATCTCTGTACAGCACTTCATATACAATCGCTGGAATATAATATGATATGCATTTATTACAATTGATTAATTTCAAGAACTACAGGCCACTCAGCTTAACTTCAGTGGTAAGAAAACAGTCAAACAATAATCTGGAACAAAATGAACAGCCATATGAATAAACGTAGGTTAAATCAAGGAAAGAGCCAGTGTGGATCAAGAGAGAGAATAGTGCTAAACTAACTTTAAAATTTACAAGGGATGATGCAAGCAATGCTGTTAATGTGACGTATACATACTTCTAAAAAGGCATTCAATACAGTTTCACACAGATTTGAGAGCAAAGTTATAGCCATAGAATAATAAAGGGACAAAAACTGCATGGATACAGAATTACAGGGGCTCAGAGACTGCTTTGTCGAGCACCTGTGCTCAGTTCGCGACAAACGACAACACCTTCAGTCGCGAACCACTTCAACACCCCTCCCACTCCCTGGACGACATGTCCATCCTCCAGTGTCACAACGACGCCACCTGAAAATTGGGGGAGCAGCAGCACCACATATTCCGCCTTGGGAGCCTACAAGCCAGTGATCTCTGTGGACTTTACTCGCTTCAAAATGTCCCCAGCCCCAGCCTCAGCCCATGATCCACCCTCCCTCTCATCCCTGCCTCCTTGACCTGTCCATCTTCTCTCCCACCTAGTCACTTCTCCCACCTCACTGACCAATCCTCACCACTGCCTACCTGCACTCACCTATTGCCATCCCACCTACCTTGCCCCGCCCCCCCCCCCCCCCATTTATTTCACAGCTCCCTTCCCCTTCCCCTTCCCCATCTCTGAAGGTCCCGACCCGAAACTTCAGCTTTTCTGCTCCTCTGATGCTGCCTGGCCTGCTGTGTTCCTCCAGCTCCACACTTATCTATGGATACAGAATTAGTTTAGTGACAGGAATAAGACAGTCCTGGTTAATGGATGCTTTTCAGGCTGCAGGAATATTTGTAGCAGAGGTCCCTAGTGATGAATGTTGGACTCTTGCTTTTCTTACGTGTTCCACTTGCTCCTCACCTCATTCCTAAAATCAACACGTTTCCAACTGAACGAGGAAGGTAGCAGTGTTGGATCTAAATCTGGTGATATTTCTCACTACTTCTACTCCCAATGCCCCGCAAAATAAAAAAACACCTGTTAATCATCTTAAAGACTGAGCGATTAAGTTTCCTATTATTTTTACTGAGCTCTACTTGCATCTGTATATTATGCCTCCAAATTTCCTGCCTTTAAATTATTTGGTGGCCTTACTGTATGCAGCCAGTATAACAGTTGTTTGAAAAATCCTTCTCCAGTGCTTTTATAGTTTGTGATCAAATCTGTTACCTCATTTTCTCACCTAGTATTTCCAGAATACCATGCAATTGTGAATTCTACATTCCTGGTCATCTTGTTGGAACCAGATATTATTGTCAAAACTGTCCTCCATGACATCCTGTGCCACATCGCCAAGCTTATTTTTTCCATTATTTACCATTTTGCATGCATACTCCAAACCCAAATTTGCCTCACATCTTCCTCAATAGATCACTCCTATTTCTAAACTATTTTACTCTCGTGCCACTTTGTCATTTTTCTTCTCTTTATCCTTCCTATGTTAAACTTACATGCATGTACAGAGAGCCATCTATTTGCTAACCAAATGCTGCTGCCTCCTTAACCATCTGTGCACATAGACTGTCCAATTTTAAAATCTGTCTGGCAGCATTCTAAGTGATCCACTGGCATTTTATTTTCTGAACTTGTACGCCAATGCAGATTTGATAATTGAAGCTATTAGGGCTTATTCTTTCAATGCTGATTACAAGCTTGACACTTGTGTAAAATAAAGGTCAGTCATTTATACTGTTTTAGGGATACTTGTGAAGATCTGTTTTAAAGACAACATGAATTCTTGAGAATGAGGAAATTACTAACGTTGATTTCACATATCAAAAAGTGTCAAAGTCACAACTTTCGATAACTGCAAAGGTGATACAGTTGAAATGTTACTAATGAATTGGACCAGAGCTGCCTTGGGGTGATCATTCCAAGACGTAATATAACGGATGGTACTTTATATCCATTAGAAAATTGAGGAAAGAATCTATTTTCTTGACAGTTAACAATATGTTTTTCAGGAAATGCATCCACATTAGACACACAATTTAAGGAGTTCTGTGGAGGAGGTCTTAAAACGCATAAAGGAATGCATAAAGGTAGATAAATTCTCAGGACCTGATTGGTGTTTCTCAGAACTCTGCAGGAAGCGATCACTAGGTCCCATGCTGAGATATTTGTATCAACAGCCACAGGTGAGGTGCCAGAAGACTGGAGGTCAGCTAATGTGATGTCATTATTTTCGAAACGGTGATAAGGAAAAGCAAGGGAACTACAGACCAGTGAGCCTGAAGTCAGTGGTGCGTAAATTGGAGGGGATTCTGAGGGACATGATTTACATGTATTTGGCAAGGTCAAGAATGATTAGGGATAGTCAACATGGATTTGTGCGTGGTAAATAATGTCTCACTAACATGACAGTTTTTTTTTGAAGTAGTGACAAAGATTGAAGGCAGAGCAGTGGACGTTGTACACGGACTTCAGCAAAGTGATCAACAAGGTTCAGCATGGTAAAAGGTTAGCAAGGTTAGATGATGTGGAATCCAGGGGGAACTAGCCAATTGGATATAACATTAGCTTGAAGATAGGAGACAGAGGGTGGAGAAGGGGGGGCTATTTTTCAGACTGGAGGCCTGTGACCAGCAGTGTGCCACAAGAATTGGTGCTGGCTCCAGTGCTTTTCATCATTTAAATAAATGATTTAGATATGAATAAAGGAAGTACAATTAGTAAATTTGCTGATGACAGTGAAATAGGTGGCATAATGGACAGTGTAGAAGATTATCTCAGAGTACAATGGGACCTTGATCAGATGGGCCAATAGGCCGAGGACTGGCAGATGGAGTTTAATTTAAATGAGGTGTTGCATTTTGGAAAGACAAACCAGGGCAGAACTTACACACTTAATGCTAGGGGCCTGTGGAGTGTTACCAAACAAAGAGACCTAGGGGTGTAGGTGCATAGTTCCTTCAAAATGGAGTCGCAGGTAGACAGTTTGGCGAAGAAATTTGACATGGTTGCCTTCATTGGTCAGAACATTGAGTTGGGATGTATGTTACAGCTGTACAGAACGTTGGTGAGAATACTTTTAGAATGCTGTATATAATCTGGTCATCTTTCTACAGGAAGGATGTTGTTAAACTTGAAAGGATGCAGAGTAGATTTACAAGGATGTTGCTGGGACTTAAGGGTTGGAGCCATAGGGAAAGGCTGAATAGGCTGGGGCTATTTTCCCTGGACCTTCAGAAACTGAGGGGTGACGTTTAGAGGTTTATAACATCATGATTGGCATGGAAAGGATGAATAGCCAAAACCGTTTTCCTCGAGTGGGGAGTCCAAAACATGAGGGCACAGGTTTAAGCTGAGAGAGGAATGATTTAAAAAGGACCCGAGGGATAACTTTTTACAGGGGATGGTGTGTGTATGGAACAAGCTGCCAGACGAAGAGGTGGCGGCAGGTATAATTATAACATTTAGAAGGCATCTGGAGGGGTACATGCATAGGGTTTAGAGGGATATTGGCTAACTGCTGGCAAATGGGACTAGATCAAATTGGGATGTCTGGTTGGCATGGATGAGTTGGACTGAAGGGTCGGTTTCTGCGCTGCAAGACTCCAACTCTATTCTTGATTTAAACCATACAGGAATTCAATGGTCAATAGATGAAACAAACTTAGAAGCACTGTGAAGCTAGGAAAATAACAGAACGTTAATGAGGCACAAGACAAGTTGGACACCATAAGCAACAAGTGATAAGTTAACTGAAAACAAAAAAAATGCTGGTGATCACAGGTCAGGCAGCACCCACGGACAGAAAGAAAGCGAACACTTAGAAGACTTGTCACAGCTGAAAATGTATGGAAGGGACAGCATTTATGCAACTGTTGAGAGTGGGCTGCTGGGGAGAAAGCATGTTGATAGCTCTGATTAAGTGATCGAACATGAGAATGGCAGAACAATGGTGTGTCTAACAGCCAGACTGAAAAGAACAGACAGACCCACTGGGCTGGGGGGAGGGGAGAGAGAGTGACAGAATGTAACAAGCAAGGCTAAAAGGGACAGAATGGGTTCAAAATTTGAAGGTGTTGAACTCAATACTGAACCCAGAAAGTTGTAAACTGGCGAGTTTGAAGATGAAATGTTGCTCCTCCAGTTTACATTGTGATTTGCTGGAGCGGCATGGTGACACAGTGGTTAGCACTGCTGCCTCACAGCACCAGGGACCTGGGTTCGATCCCATCCTTGGGTAGAGTTTGCACGTTCTCCCTGTGGGTTTCCTCTGGGTGCTCCAGTTTCCTCCCACAGTCCAAAGATATGCAGGCTAGGTGGATTGGCCATGCTAAATTGCCTGTAGTGTTCAGGGATGTATTAATTAGGTGGATTATAGGGGGATGGGTCGGTATGGGCCAAACAGCCTGTTTCCACACTGTAGGGATTCTATGAGCATTGCAACATACCAAGGACAGACAAGTGAGCATGTGAGCAAGACACTTAAAATGACTGGCTACAGGAAGGTCGGGATCATCCTTGCACACAGACCGGAGATGTTCTGCAAAGCGGTCACCCAGTCTGCATTTGGTTTCTCCAATGTAGAGTAGAACACACTGTGTGCAGCAAATACAAGTTCAGTGGGAGTAAAAACTTGTAGAAATTTGGAAGGATGAACATGGAGATGCAATTTAAAACCTGAAATATTACAGTAATAGCAAAACTCTGCAATCTATTCTAGTGACACAGAACACTTGGGATATCCCAAGTTAAAGAAACCAAACTAATGAACTTTACCTTCAAAACATCACTGATTCTATTTCTATTTGGGATAAATGAAACAGTACCAGATTTATTGTCTCCATCACAAAGATGGAGAACCACCTGTTGTTTTGCAAGCATGGTCCAAACTGTAATTACCTCAGTTTCTCAAACCCAGTTATTTCACCCCTTCATTTAGGGTCAGAGTTATACAACAAAGGAAACAGACCCTTTGGTCCAACCAGTCATGCCGACCATAATCCCAAACTAAATTAGCCCCACCTGCCTGCGTTTGGTCCATATCCCTTGAAACATTTTTTATTCGTGTACTTGCAAGTGCCTTTTAAACACCAACTGTTACCACATCTACCACTTCCTCTCGAAGTTCATTCAACATAACAAACTGAAAAGTTACCCCTCATGTCTATAAATCTCTGCTTTCACATTAAAAATATGCCCTGTAGTCCTGAAATTCCCATTAAATTCTTGCATTGAAAAATCCCTGTACTTTGTTTACTCCTAAAATACAAGCATCTACCTTGAATCATGTCACCCTAGAAACTCTAAAGGCTATAAGAAATAACAGGAGTAAGCCACTTAGCCCTTTTGAGCCTGATATGCCATTCAATGAATCTTGACTGATCCAAGACATTATATTCACTTTCCTGCCCTTTCCCCAGAACCTTCGATCCCCCTACCGATCAAGAATCTAGCTCAGCTTTAAACATATTAGGGGTAGAGTCCTTGTATAGCCTGCTGGCATGAGATCCAATGACTCAACCTCAAGAAATTCCTCATCTCAGTCTTAAAATGGCACTGCTTTATTGAGACAATGCACTCTGGACCTTGATTTTCCCCATGAGGATGCATCCTCTCAGCATTTACCTCGTCAGGTCCCTTAAGAATCCCATATGTTGCAATGAGATCACCCAACATTCTTCCAGACTCCAATGAAGAGAGTCACTGTTTAACCCTTGCTCCTAAGACAATCCATACCAGTGATCATCCTTGTGAACCTTCTTTGAACTGTCCCCAATGTGCCATCTTTCCTTGAATAAGGGGACCAAAATGCTCTCAGTACTCCAGATGTTGTCTCACCAGCATCTTCTACAGTTGCAGAAAGACTTCCTGATTCTTATACTCTGACCCCCATTGAAATAAGGGCCAATGTTCCATTAGCACTCCTGATTACTTGCTGCACTCATATGCAAGCTGTTTTTCATGCATAAAATACCCCCAAGACCCTTGTACTTGGAACATACTTCCAAAAAAAAAAGGCAGGTGTTGGATCAGTTAATTTTACAATCAGATTTTCGTTAAACAAAGCTATTAAGGATATGGGTCAAAGGCAGGTGTATTGAATTAGGCCAGAGATTAGCTATGATCTCATTGAATGGTGGTAAAGGGTCAAGGGACTGAACAGCTTACTCCTGTTTTAATGTTCTACATACTTCCTTAATTGATTCTGAAACTTAAGCAATAGATATTAGGCTAATTAGCCTAAGCTTTCAAATTTTGATAAGTTTAGTGCTAACTGCAGCATTTACATGTCAGTTTTTTTTAACCCCTCATCCTTTAAAACAAAAATCTTCATTTGACAACAAAAGCATATGGTTATTGGGAAGTTCACAGAAGGCTGAACACTTGAAAATGTGATACAGTGTGTTCAAGAACTTCCTCAAATTTGGAAGTATTCCATAAATTTACTTGGAGATTATTTATTTTTTTTCCTAAACCTGAAGACTCATCACCTCCGATTATTATACCACAAACTTCATTTAAGAAACACCTACAGAAAAAGGAAAAGTTGAGAATACTGTCATTTTACCCCATTAGAAACATCAATTCTTCTAAAATTTGAGGGAAACAAAAAAGGAACTTTCCTGATGATTGAAGGCAATTTGCCAAAAAGCTATGCAGTACTGAGCCACTCTTCCCCAATAACATGTGATCCTTGGGGAATTGTACGCAAAGTCTAATACAAAACGTAAATGCATTAGAAAACAGAACCAACAGCCATTGGATTTGTACAAGTTGGTGATTAATTTTTAAACATGTGACAGGTTACCATGTGTAGCTATTTTAATCATCCTGCTCAGATACATTATGACACCGCAGGGGGAACCTGAATCCAGGCCTTCTAACTGAAAAGGTAGCGACACTACCATTTTGCGACAAAGGCTCTATGTTGGTTCCTGGCTTGTTCAACAGCAGATAGTAAACAAGTACCTCAAAATAGATTGACAGTAAATTATCATTTTAAATAAAACTGTTTTAAGGGTCAACCAACACCAGCAGACGACAGATCTCATTTAGCCAAAAGACAAACCTACCTTGACAAACGGCTGCATGCCCTTGAAACTGTTTTGTAAACACGCTATCATAATGACCATTGTTGGAACAGCAAAGCAAGATCTTTAAAAAGAAAAATATTCCATATCTTTACTTTTTCTTTGGATTTTATCCAAACGTTGCAAGATTAACAAAGCGAAGTCAACAAACATACTTTAAAAATCAGAAACAGTAAACTCTAAGAAGGAATACTGCAGATGTTGGAAATCAAACATTTGTTTCTTTCCAAAACTGCTGCCTCGTCTGCACAATATTTCCAATTTTTTGTTTTTACATGTTTATTTGGCAATTCCTATTCCTTCCTCTCCTCTCCTCCATTCCCAGAAATACTATCCCTTCCGCTCAGAATTTTTAAGAACAGTGATACATACCTGTTATGGACCAGACCAAATCCTCTCAAAACAGACAGCCTGGTTCCTAACTTTTATTTAAAGATAGCGTAAGGTGCTGCTTTTCAGACCTGATTCGATTGGTCATGCTATTTGTTCTGCTTCCCATGGAGCAGACAGCCCGGCACCTGGTTTACATTACCCCTCTTCAAGAGGAGCAGGGCAGAACAAATCCCTCAAAGGCACATCTTGTCACAAACTGAGCAGAGGCAAATTAAGATCAGCACAAATGTGCAAGATACCATTTGAAAATAAACAGAGTGTGCTCATTTGTAATAAAATCTTCTCCCTTTAATTGTGGGAAGTAACAGTTTGGTTCGACCTGCCCACTACTGCTGCATATACATTTGACTCATTCTGTTTCAGCCCATCTCCTAATGCCAGCTCTGACTTATCCTCTCATTAGATCATTGTCACTGTGCTTTTAATATTACGCCTTCCTGCTTGACTTTACTCAACACGAGGATCTTGGAGCACACTGTCATTCACACTCTCATGCAACATCAATTGTTCTGTAGCCATGGCTCAGTAAATCACTGCTATATCTGCTTTCTTTCCCAGATTGGCCACTGCTGTTAGATAGCAATAGACTGAGGAGAACAGATAACCCAAAGCAACACACTGAAGATCACTAATGTTGAGACTACTTGAAGCAAAATTGTGCCCAATTTTGGCTGAGCAATGCTTTGTAATTACTGTTTGTCCATTAATCTCCAAAATGTTCAATAATTGTACAATTAGAACTTGGGACAAAAAGTGCACAATTCACCAAATTTAAGGGGAGCACAAGCAAACAATACGTTTTAGGTTCAAAGTTCCATTTCATTAGAATCTGCTGTCTTGATTATTGGGCAAGTCAATACCTGATATCCATTCTTGATCTAAATTTACATTTATCATTTAAAAACCATTATTAGCTTGTTGATAAATGCTGAGGACAAGACTATAAACAGCCTGATACAAGAATTAGGACTAGTTTAATTTCCTGATTTGTTAGGAATTGAGTTGTTTTTATTATATTTACAAATATTTAGAACAGCACAGTGTGGGGGGGAGGGACATGTGTGTAGAGTTTGCATGCTCTATCTGTGTCTGCATGGGTTTCCTCCCACAGTCCAAAGATGTGCAGGTTAGGTGGATTGGCCATGCTAAAAATTGTCCTGTAGTGTCCAGTGATGTGCAGTTTAGTTGGGTCAGCCATGGTAAAAACCCTGGGGGTGGGGTGAAATGCTTTTTGGAGAGTTGGTGCAGACTCAAATGGGCCAAATAGTTTCTTGCTGCACTGTAGTGATCCTGTGGTTCTATATTTGCTTTGATACTTGATTTTATGTTAAAACATGAATGTATTAATAAATTAATGGTACAAAAGGACAATGTGAAATCTCATATCTTCTCCATTAAAAAGAAATGGATGCAAGTCAAACAATATTGCACTTTTGCTAATTAGATGGGGAGGTGTGGGAAATTCATTGTTTTGGGATAAATTTCAAATAGTAAATTTATCTGTGAATTGGAAATAACCTCTTCAGATTTTGAAATTTTAAACCCATCTCACACTACAAAAAGTGAGAATGATAGACCATTCATTCACACACTAGATGTCCCACGCACAGCTTTTTCATTGGGAAGATAGGGCAGATATTGCATTTTTCAATTAATAAGGGAAATTTCCAGCAGTTTGTTATACTGCATTGACCAGTTGAGTTGCCAGCACTTGCTGTACAGTCAATGTTTGGGAACTGACCTCCCTGATGTACAAGAAAGCTACGTAAATAATTTGCCATGATGGCTCCAAAATAAATGCAAAGTAGTGTTCCAAACCACTACCTTACCACTGTTTTGATATATTTTTAGAAAAATTCAACTTTAAGAAAATTGTGTATTTGCTTTTACTTAGAAATTAAATAAAAATAGACAGTGCAACAGGCAAAAGCAAACCAGTTCCTGATTGTTGATCATTCGTAATTCAGAAGGGCAAATTAAGACTAAGCAAATTAAATATTTTATTCAGAATAAATTAGCGTATATAAATAATTCGCAGACAGTAAACTGAAGATGATAAATACTAATGAGCAGCAAAATGGCTGTGGTTAGCACTGTTGCTTCAGTGCCAGGGACCCAGGTTCAATTCCGACCTCAGGCGACGGTCTGTGTGGAGTTTGCACATTCTCCCCGTGTCTACGTGGGTTTCCACCCAGTGCTCCAGTTTCCTCCCACAGTCCAAAGTTGGGCAAGTTAGGTGGATTGACCATGCTAAATTACCCTTAGTGTTCACGAATGTGTAGGTTAGGTGTGTTAGCCATGGGAAATGTAGGGTTACAGGGATACAGTCGAGGGATCAGTCTGGGTGGGACGCTTTTCGGAGGGTTGGTGTGGACTTGTTGGGCCGAGTGGCCACTTTCCACACTGTGGGGATTCTATTCAAGTAAACTTCCAAAAAAAAAGGATTCATTAAAAGTCACCAAACAATAAAGGATCAGGTAAGAAAGGCAATCTTCCAGATTTCTTGGTAATTTGAGTGATAGTTTCCCAGATGCACTTTGTTCATAAATTGCCCAATTCTTTGATTTGTGCTAGCTACTTGGTAAGTTAGATAACACGCACCCACCTGTTGATATAATACAAGATGAGATTTTTCTTACCGTCTTCTCAAATCCATTATTTGTAGCTTGGGTGGGCGATTTTCCAGGATACCGGTAAATTAGAAAGTCACAACTTGACATTTGGAAAAAAGTGAATTGGTAATGTTTTACAAGCAATTAGTTTGTTTTCTATTTTGGTTAGAAAGCAAGCAACTTGCTGCAGATTGCACCTCCATAAGCAGCCCTCTTTCAGATAGTTAACATTTCATGTCCATTCTCTCCACAGATGCTGACAGATCTACTGAGTTTCTTCATCCACTTTCCGACTTGGGACTAGGCCCTTGCTGAAACAGGATTTTCTGGACATTGGGAGGCTGTGTGCCTAATACAGCCCCCGGGCTCCAAATTTATGCTATTGCTTCAAATGGAATTAAAGCTCAGCATGACCAATCCACCTGTTGTGTGGCAGATGTTCCTCAAGAGGATGAGGAGCTCATACTGAAGACAGCTTCAAGGTAACCCTTCAGAACATCAGCATGTCATGATGCAGTCCTGAGCAACTTGGGGAGTTTGGGGGGGTGGAGGGTGGAATGGGTGGGCACTTAGTGGTGGTGGAAGAGAGAGATTAGGGACGTACAATCTGCATTAAAATCCTGCACATTATTAGTATTCCTTGCCCCAAATCACTACTCTTAGCCCATAAACTCATTATTTGTCAGACATTCAAACATTTTATCGTAGTCATGATAGCACTGCAGTGGAGAAGCTGAACACAGAACGAAAAGGACGGAAGCTGTGGGCTCACCAGTAAAACTGATTGGCCTGAAGGTGGATAAACCACCTGGAGCAGAAGGACTACACCTCAGAGTACTAAAGGAGACAGCTGAAGAGATAGTGAAAGCGTTAGTGATCTTTCAGGAATCACTAGAGTCAGGGAGGGTCCCAGAGGACTGGAAAATCGCTAATGTGATACCCCTGTTTAAAAAGGGAGTAAAGCAAATGACGGAAAGTTACAGGACAATTAGCCTAACGTCGGTCGTGGGTAAGATTTTGGAGTCCATTGTAAAGGATGAGATTTCTGAATATCTGGAAGTGTATGGTAAAGTAGGGCAAAGTCAGCATGGTTTCATCAAGAGGTCATGCCTGAAAAATCTGATAGAATTCTTTGAGGAAGTAATGAACAGGGTAGACCAAGGAGAGCCAATGGATGTTATCTACCTGGACTTCAAGAAGGCCTTTGACAAGGTGCCGCACAGGAGGCTGCGGAGTAAGATAAGGGCCCATGGTGTTACAGACAAGGTGCTAGCGTGGATAGAAGATTGGCTGTTTGGCAGAAAGCAGAATGGGGATAAAAGGGTCTTTCTCAGGATGGTAGCTGGTGACAAGTGGTGTTCCGCAAGAGTCAGTGTTGGGACCACAACTTTTCACTTTCTACTTTAATGATCGAGAAGAAGGAACTGTGGGCATTCTGGTTAAGTTTGCAGACGATACAAAAACAGTTGGAGGGACAGATAGTATTGAGGAGGTAGGGAGGCTGCAGAAGGATTTGTACAGGTTAGGAGAGTGGGCAAAGAAGTGGCAGATGGAGTACAACGTGGGAAAGTGTGAGGTCATGCACTCTGGTAAGAATAACAACAGTATGGACTATTTTCTAAAAGGGGGAGAAAATTCAGAAGTCTGAAATGCAAAGAGAATTGGGAGTTCTAGTCCAGGATTCTCTCAAGGTAAACTTGCAGGTTGAGTCAGTAGTCAGGAAGGCAAATGTAATGTTGGCATTTATTTTAACAGGACTTGAATTTAAAAACAGGGACGTACTATTGAGGCTTTATAAGGCTCTGGTCAGGCCACATTTGGAGTATTGTGTGCAGTTTTGGGCCCCATATCTCAGGAAGGATGTGCTAGCCCTGGAACGGGTTCAGAGGAGGTCCACGAGAATGGTCCCAGGAACGGAGAGCTTAATATATGAGGGACGTTTGAGGTCTCTGGGACCATACTCATTGGAGTTTAGGAGGAGGGGGAATCTAATTGAACTTACAGAATACTGAATGGCCTGGACAGAGTGGATGTTGAGATGACACTTCCATTGGTAGGAGAGTCTAGGACCCGAGGGCACAGCCTTAGAGTAAAGGGAAGACCTTTTAGAATGGAGATAAGGAGAAACTTCTTCAGCCAGAGTGGTGAATCGATGGAATTCACTGCCACAGAAGGCTGTGGAGGCCAGGCCATTGAGTGCATTTAAGACTGAGATAGATAGGTTCTTGATTATCAAGAGGTATGGGGAGAAAGCAGGAGAATAGGGTTGAGGAACTTATCAGCCATGATTGAATGGTAGCAGACTCAACGGGCTGAATGGCCTAATTTCTGCTCCTATGTCTTATGGTCTTAATAGAAGTCTTTAGGGTAACTGACGGAGTTTGATAGGGGGTGAATGTGGAGAAGCTTTTTTCTTTAAAAACCTTGTGGTGCAGCCTGAAACTGGTGGCCCCAAGTACACTGTCACTAACACATCCATTAGGATTTGAAGAAGTCTGCTTTACCCAGTTTTTAAACGAATGTTGAATGCTACAACTGACCACAGTTGACATAAAAGATATGTAAGCACTTAAGTGGGATCTGAGTAAGTGCAAGCAAAGAAGAGAATGCTGAGACTAGAAAAGATGACAGGAAAGCTCTGAAAACAAACCAGCACAGAGGAGTTGGGCCAAATGATTACTGTCAGTTGATAACAGGAAAGAACAGAAAAAGAGATATAGGATAGAAAAACAGTAAAATATTTAACAAAGCAGGGCTTTCAAGTTGAAACATTTCTCAGAAAGGTAATACCAAATTGCTGGCAACTAACTTTAAAGGCTAAAACAAAAACTTAAACACCTGGTAAGGAAGCTACTTGAAAACTTGACTTAGTTCCAACTAGTAGCACTTGATCATTGTTTAGAGGAAGGTAACATTCAACATTTCCAGTTATAGGCAAGCTCTTCTCTGTATCGGCTCCAATTCATCCAAACATTCTAGTGTAGCGTTACCTCTAAACTTTTCCCACCTCAAGAGAACAGAGATCTGAAACTCTGCCTACAAAAGGTTAGTTTTTTTTGGACAGAAACAAAATGAGACAGTCAAGTCCATACAATTCTACTATGGTCTGGTGATCTCTCCCGTGAGGTACATCATCTCCAAGAAATGTTGTACACAACAACTGAGGCAGATATCAACAACTTTCAAAAGTACTCTTATCTGCAGAGACTTTAACTTGGGTTACAGATGAAGAGTCAGCAAATTGGAATTGAAAGGATAGCTTTTGATGGGGTGGACACTGTGCTGTAGGTTTGCATGATTCAAGTCAAAAATTTATTTCCAAACTCTCAGGGTGTGGGCATCACTGGCTGAGCTAGCATTTATTGTCCATGATGTCTATTGAGCATTAATGCCCATCAGTAATTGCTCTCAAGGCAGTAGTGACTGTCTTCAACCACTGCAGTCCATATGGTGCAAGTACACCAGCATTGTTAGTGGGATCCAGGACTTCTCCCATTAGTGAAGGAATGATAATATAATTCCAGTTAGGGTGGCCAGTTCACTTGGAGGGGAACACAAATGGTAGTGTTCCCATTGTATCTGCTTCCCTCATCCTTCTAGGTGGTAGAGTTTGCACATTTGGAAGCTGTTGAAGCAGCCTTGGAAAGTTGTCGCACTGCATCTTATAAATGGCACACATGGCTGCTGTTGTGGTAAAGAGTGAACAATGGTATCCATTCATCACCTTCAATCAAGCAGGATACTTTGTCTTAGATATGTCCAATATTCGAGCATTGTTGGAGCAACACTCATCAAGACAAGTGAAGAATATGCCCCACACTTCTGACATGTCTTGTAGATAGTGGACAGGCTTTGGGATATCAGGAGGAAAGTGGATTGTGCAGAATTGCCAACTTCTGATCTTGTAGCTTTCTGGTGAATGGTAACTCTCAGCTATTATAATAACATTTTGCATTAAGGGGAGATTATTAGATTCTCTTGTTGTAGATGGTCATTATCTGGGAATGCATGACATGAATGTTATTTGCTACTTCTCAGTGTAAGCCTGGATGTTATCCAGGTCTTGCTGCATATGGACACAAAATGCTTCAGGACATTAAGATACAAATTGTACTAAAAATTATGCAATCAAGAGCTAATAGCCTACTTCTGAACTTGAGAAGATCACTGATGTTTGGGCCTAGGACACTACCCTGGGGAAATTGAGATGACGGACCTCAACACCCACAACTATCCAACTGTGCAAGGTACAACTCCACCAGCACAGTAGTTTCATTGATTCTCATTGACACCACACTTAACCCAATGCTGCCTTCTTGGCAAGTGCATTCAATTCTACCTTATTTGTCTTCTATATTTTAGATATTTGCCCATCAGCAGATTGAGCAGGCATTTCACTTTTAATTTGCCACTAGTTACTGGTTTTTTTTTAAAAACAGTATGTTCCATTGTTAATTCAAAATCATTGGACACTTACTTGTACATCAGTGATAGAGCATTCATCTCTAACATTCCAGCCCATTCCTATAACAAAAATAGCAGTCTTAATGGAAGTTAAAAGCATCAGCTTCAAAGATTCAGACATTAAGCACTTGCAATGCAGTATTTTGCTCAGGATTCAGTACATTGCCAGGTGGTTCACCAAAGCAAAATATAGAGTCATAGTGTCCTACAACATGGGGACAGACTCTTCGGCCCAAACTGGTCCATACTGACCAAAATTTCAATCCACACTAACTCCACTTCCTGCACTTAGCCCATATCCTTCTAAACCTTTCCCTACACGTACCTGTCCAAATGCCTTCTAAATGTTGTTAATGTACCCACCTCAACCACCTGCAAAAGCACGTAACAATGTTGAGTACAGAAAATTATCTACATTTTTCTATTCTGCAGTAAAAGAAAAACTGGCATTACTCTAGCAATATCAAGAGAATTTTGCATTTCTAAATATCTTAGGCCCATTTAACAAATTCTGCAACTATTCCTAAGCCTTCAAGGCATTACAAAATCCTACCACTTCAATCACGGTTCAAACACATTGTTCGATGGGACATGGGTATTACTGCTGAGGTCAGCATTTATCAATTCCTTACTGCCTGGCTTAATCATTTCAGAGGGCAGTTAAGAACAAACCTCTCTGCTATAGGTCTGGAGTCAGATGTAGCCCAGAACAGGTAAGGATAGCAGATTCTTTCCTTAGAAATTAGACAGCCAAATGAGTCATACCACAATAGTTGACGATAATATTGATGACTGGCTTTACATTTCAGATAAAGGTTTAATTGAAATGTCAGCTGCCATGTTGGGATTTAAACCAGTATCGCCTGGGACATTAGCCTGGGCCTCTATTACAAGTCCAGTGACATTGTCGTGATGCTACCATCTCTCTCTCTCTCTGTAATGAGGGCATTGAAGGATATATGCTTCCAATGCTCAATGTACAACATCACCTTCATTTGGAAAAGGACTGTACAGATGGCAGCACAGACAGTTTTGCTCAGATGTACAACATTGATGACGGATTTAATTTTTCACCACAATTCCTTTGACTTTCTGGAATGAAATGAACGGAAGAGAACTTAACGGCTGCAGTAATCATATGAATAGAGGTTAAGACAAGTTTCATGAATAAGAACCAGTCTGAACTGAAACTTGCACATTTTTAAAATCAAACAGACTGAAACCACCAGGTGTAAAGAAGTCGGTATCACCTATCAGATTTATAACCTTTGAAAGGTTCTCATATTGGAAATTAAAAAAAAAAATCAGTGATTTCCCAATGTGAAAATAAGAAACTAAATTTGAGTACACATCAGCTGTATTTTAGGGACGGCCTTTGTTTTCAGCAGATGGAGAATTTGGATTTAACAAGAAATGGAGGATTCTTATTCTCTTTCCTTTCTCTCAATCTCTTGAAAAAGGATAAAACATCCATTGCTCATGCAAACTGGGATAAGAATGCCAAAACCATTAAGCTTTTTCTAGCATTTTCTATGTGGCTTCAAAACTTATGTAATTGTTGTTACAACAGGTACTTGCTCTCTCCAAGCAAAACTACTTCATGCCTTGTTTTTAGAAACTGACAATAAATACCACAAAAGCAACCACATTCGACAAGGTGACAACAAATAATGGTCTGGCACATTATCAAAGTATTTAGGAAAATAAAGTAGTTTTAATCCCAAAATGAAAACTAATCCTCAAATGAAGGTGGGCAAGGAATCAATGACTTTTCTGATGTTGAGAATAGGAATAATTATAGTAGGAGATAGCCTGAAGGGTGACCCATAACGTCAACTTTTCTGCTCCTCAGATGCTGCCTGACTTGTGTTCCTCCAGCTCCACGCTGTATTACCTATAATTGTTTAAGTTCATTGGCTAGCAAAGTTTTTAAATAAGTGATTGTGGACTGTAAACTGCCAGGGTTAAATAGGATACATCAATAAGCACTTAGAATCAGAGGACATTAACAGGAGGCGTCTTCTTCAGATTGACAATAGCCCCAAAGAGATTAAGGGAAGAGCTCCCAAGTACTTAGCAAGACAGCAGAATGCTGTCTTCACAATTTCAATGAGAATGACACACCATATCACCTTCATGTTTAGCTTCTAGTATCAGGAGGACCATGCTTGTCACGGGTTGTGTACTTTGTGTCTAACATATCGGAACTGCTGCTTAAACAATCCAAAAATCCCTTATGAACAGTTGACTGCCTATATTAAGTAACTGTAGGCACGAACCCACAGGATCTAACACTGTCAAATTGTTGAATTGTGCCAAGTAACAAAAGCAGTGAGAATCCTAGCCTTAACTGACTTAACTTGTAAGCTTTTGGCACAGATATTTGAAACTTTTGAAAAAAAGATTTTGGACAACATTAGTTTCCAGCAGCTGTCATGTACAAATGGGGCATTTGGCATTGTCACAAAGCTTGAAGGATAGAATGCTTGTAGCATTGAGATCAGTCAGATATAAGGGGCACAGGCACCATAACAAATGACAACAGGGACTTGAATTTTTAAAAATCTGCTTTTTTTAAAAAAAACGTTCATGGGATGAGAGCATTACACATCCCTAACTGCCCAGACAGTTAAGAATCAACCACAATGCTGTAGGTCTGGAGTCATGTGTAGGCCAGACCAGGTAAGGATGGCAGTTTCCTTCCCTAAAGGACATTAGTGAACCAGACTGGTTTTTCCTGACATGCGACAATGGTTTCATAGCCATAAGAATCTTAATTCCAGATTTCTATTCAATTCAAATTTCACCATCTGCCATGGTGGGATTTGAACCTGCATCCTCAGGATATTACCTAGGTCTCTGGATTAACAGTCCAGCAATTATGTCACTAGGCCACCACTTCCCCATACAGGACCAGATAGCATGAACTGAATATTAATCAGAACAGCAAATCATGGAAATGAAGGGGAACGCAACAGATATTTCAGATGTGATTCAAAACATATGATAAACCACCTAAGTTTGGAACAAAATGGAACAGAATGCAAAGATCCATGGTATGGAGTTCAGAACAGGAAGTTGCTGAATAGCCTGAGATCATAAAAAGTTTCATCTGGAAATGAACATACTAACTGCAACTTCATTTAATGGTACTGTCTTGGACAGTGCTTGTACATTGAAAGTATAAGATATTGTATAGGGGACACTATTCATGTCAGGAATCTGCAATGTCTAGTCAATTACATAATTAAGGGTAAATAGGTGATGTGTTAATGGATGTCTTTTAGCAGAAAGGGGCTCTTGTGGTCTCCACTATCTCCACCTCTGGGCCATGAAACCCAAATTCCAAGTCCTATCTACTCCAGAAATGTGTAACATCATCTCTGGCCAGGTTGATTAAAAATACCTTAGCACAAAAATGGGACAGCTGAGATGCAAGAGATGTGTAGTCAAAGATCCATAAATAATACATAACATTAATAAAGTTACAATAAAAAGCTCATAGTTGGATCCACAGGTGATACTAGGCACAATATCCTTATGGAAATGGCTGGAAAACAGTGGAAGCTTACAAAACAGGACTGAGGGGTCTGTGACACAATAAAAGTGTCCCCACTACTGGACCAGAATGTTTGGGTTCAAATCCTACCTGTTCCAGACAAGTGTCAATGGTTTGAACAGGTTGTTAAAAATATCTAAGCAGCCAGTAAGCAGTGAGTGCCCAAAGTAATAGAGTGCACATGAACTGCTTTTATACATCCAATTAAAATAGATTCCAAACATAGTACCAGAAGTGGCAGCAATATGGTATACTTCTAGCTCCATCACTATATCTCCATCTCTAGCTATCAGGCAGGCCCAGGGTTGTGACCCAGCAGCAATGAAAGAACAGCAAAATTTTTCCAAGTCAGGACTGTCTGTAACTTGGAAATGAACATCAAGGTTTTTGTATTCCTACACATCTACTCCTCATTTCTTGAGGTGGTAGAAGCCACAGGTGCAATCAATGAAACCTTGGTATGAAGATGTGACCCTGGCAGCCCTAATACTTGACTCTGACCTTATGAAGTCACGCAGTTTCTTAATAAAGTTGTTCAGAGATGTTGTTGCACACCTCTGCAGCAGGTGGGACTTTAAGCCAGGAGGCCTGGCTTAGAGGTAGTGACACTACCTGCACCACAAGACCCCCCTAACTCACCTGCAAAAAGAAACACCCATTTTCTTGCCAACATTAGGCAGCAATGTCCTCATCTGATAGGTGGATCCAAGTAAGAATTAAGAATAAGAGTTAACATTTAATAGTTACAATAAAAAGCTTTTTTTTTTAAGATCTGACTATACATCTCAGTATCACAGCTGTCCCATTTGTGCTGTAATACAGTCAACACCCATCAACTGTTAATCTTTAGCTAAGTAATTGATCTGACTTAGACTCTTGACATTAATTGTATCCCATATACTGACTATCATCCACTTCAGATCTATTAGTATTCTTTCGTGTTGAACACTCCTTGGAGAAAGCACCACAGGAAGGTGCACTCGTGGGAGGGCATGCCAATGTCTATTATTCAGAATGGCTCCGCAGTGTGTTATGCTCATGTAATACAAACTAAAGCATAAATTTGAAAAGGAGACTTTCCTGTAAACAAAAATGGAATTTATCTTTTCAGGCCAACAAATGTAAATGGAAGAACACTGATCCAAAGGTCATAACTAGACAAGTCTTGGTGCTTCCGGTGATAATGTCAGTATTGTTTCAACTAATCAAAAAAGACAACTGGGTTCATATTATTTTCATAGCCTTCAAGACTCCAAATTTGAAATCCAGAAACTGAGCATGAAAAGCTTCATTTTTATCAAGAGGACATACAAGTCATAACCAGGCTCCAGGGTCTGGTAACAGCTTAACCAGCAGAAGCTTAAAAGGACAATGAATGATGGTCTGGTCATATGACAGAGGCGATATTTCTGAAACTGCTTTTAACAAGGCATATTCTGTTCAGACAGTAGAAACATCTCTGCCAAAAGGGGGAACCCTACGTACGAATGCCCACTCTTAAACCAGAAAATACTTAAGTTGACCTAAAATACTACATGGGGAACTGCATCCAGGCTATATTTTTGAACTTGCATTGGATGTAATAAGAGATCTACTGCTGCGATAAACAGAGCAAATCCATCCTTCTAAACTACCAAAGTTGTTCTTCACTGGACAGAAAAATTATAAACCTGCCTGATTAAGTCATCACCAGCATAGTACTTTTATAATCATCTTTTTCTGAGCATACGCATCCATGCAATTAAGAATGTGCCATTATGTATTTGTTAAACGCCTGACAATGCATTATAAAACTTTTAGAAACCTGTCACTTGCCCACTCCAGACAATTTAAAAACTCACAGGAGTCAAACAGTTCATTGTAAAATACCATCGTTGGTCAGTAGATTAGGTGGAAAAGCAGAACAGGAGCTCTGTTCATTACTTCTCCCCATATGTAACAGGAACCACTACTGATGGAGTCCTAAACAACAGGATTGCAGAAGGACAGAACTAACACCAATAATGGCATTCAAAACTGGGCATCTGCAAGGATCTACTTGCCAGCAGCAGCTTATAAACACATGGCCAAACTGCTCACCCTCCATTACACATCACTACCCTGGTGGAATAAGGAGTATAGAGGAGCTTAACAGAAACAAGTGTCACATCTGAAAATGAAGTGCAAATTTACTGAAGCCAGAGTGAACTATTTGCATACCGTACTTAAGTGGATTGAAAAATTATAGAGCAATAAGTGATCTGACATAAAAAGTCAAGTAAAAGATTTGCCAACCTCCTACATAAAGTAGTGAATAATAGTGCAGAATTAAAACACAAGACTGTTCATTCTCAGCGCTCATTCCAAACCCAGGATCTGAATGCAAAAGGCTGATCTGTTCTCTACAATCTTCAACTAAATGTGCCAAGTGATACTCCAACTTCTTCCCGATATTCTCACATTTAAACATGCCAGTTTTCAACCAATTCACTATATGGCATCAAGAATGGGCTGATTGCATCAGATACATGGAAAAATAAAGTCGACAACATCCCAGCCATAGCATTTAAACCTGCATTGCATCCTTTGCCACGTTGCTTCAATAATGCTAATGCCATCTGTCCAACCATTTAGAAATGCTCAGGTATACCCCATTCAAAACAAAACTAGACAAATTGGACCCAATTAACTACCAGCAGCCTACCTTTTATCATTGACCAAGTTGTGAAAAGCATTTTTAAATAGTAATTTTACATTTGATCAGTTTGAACTTTTCCATTCAGTGTTCTAAATCTCTTTACTGCACCAATCCCACCATAGACACCACAGTTGAACAGTGACAACTGACTGATGTCAAGGTGGCCTTTAACCATACCAACAATTGTGATATATGAATTGTACGTACCTTCGGATCACTCAAACGTTCCAAGTGTTTGTCAAAAGGGCCATCGATAAACTGAGAAAGCAAAGGTGAAATTCTGCTACATGAGAAGTCAAACTAAATCAATTACTTTTTAAAGTCAACATATAACAAATTCTAAATCATATTTCTATAAACAATTCCCCAAGTATCTCATACAATAGGCAATGAAAAATTCCCTTTAAGAGAAAGTCTTTAAGAAAACAAAAGCAGGAAAAGGAACATGGGATTTCAGAGCCTTAAAGTTACTAGGCTTACTCCACAGGTAATAAGTACACGTTCTGACCAGTTACATAGAGACAGATATCTACATCGATTTCAAGTCAATATATAGCAAGGCAGCCACCAGAAAGTCACACTGCCGTAACTGTAACTCAAGCGTTTACCACCCCCCTCATTTCTAGAAGCCAAAATAGTTAGATCTACCAATTCCACACATCATTTGATTTGCCTTCTCCGTAAGACACTGCCCACAGACTCAACTCGCAGAACCAAGCATTCACCGAATTCATAAAATTGCGCATCTCTAATACGCTACGCTAATAACACGTTTTCCCACGCAATTTGAAGTGGGCAAAGACATATTTAAAAATAAGCCCTCTTAAGTACTTAATGATTTAATGCTTGACACAAGTCATGGTTAACGTTATCACCTATTTTACATCACAACTTGGTCATACCTACGGAAACGACATTTTAAAGTTGTTTATAGAAACTTATAGAATTTCAATGAGTTACCAATACTTACTGTCTCGAATTTACTTCGGTTCACCCTCATGTAAATAATGCAAGTTTTTCGGATCTCCAAGTGATACATTTGAGTCAAAAACAGCTGTTAAAAATGCAAAAAAAAGTGTTTTGGTCAACAAGCGGAGGACAAGTAGAAAAATAATGGCTCGAGCTCTCTGAAATACAACCATAAAATTGTTTTCTTCTGAAAAATCAATGAAACGAAACACCAAGTCAATAGGAAAGTTGGTTGGACACAAAAGTGATGCAATACGATACAGTTTTAATTGTTGTTTGTTACGTTTACGAAAATATAAACTTTGGCAAAGAGCTTACCTGCTCGGAGACAGTCCTGAAGAGACAGGAGCCGTCCTTAGCGGTGAGTTTTCGATACAACCCCTGGCTGCTTAGATACTCATCCATAGTCACTTCATTCAGAGACTTCTGGCCGAAGTATTTTCTAACCCCCTTCTGCATTTCTCCACCCCGCCATAAGGCAACATATATTTTTTCCACTCTTAAAAAATATACTTTTTTTTTTAAAAAATGGTAGATAGAATTTAAGCTAAAAAGCAAAACGCTGTCGAAGTGAAAAAAGGATTTTTTTTTTCCCCCTCCCCAGCTCTGGTTGACAGAATCAGGGTTATTTTTTGAGTAGCCCTATTCTGCTGGGCCGAGCCAGACCAGGTGCATCACATCCTACTGATTACAAATAACCTTCCCCCCCCGCCACACACACACGCCCCACGCCCACCCGACACACTGTCTCCAGCTCAACAGCAACACATTGGGGTAAATTATTTACAATAGCCTTTCATCCTTTAATGTTTATATTTTAATTTTTAAAAAGTGACGCCCTTAATTCTGTCATTTCACATAAGGCATATCAAATGTTTTTCTTTAAATGACAAGGTGTTTAAGAGGCCATTATCTTCATGAAAACCTGCTTTCGCACACAGCAAGATTAAATATTTGACGCGGTAAATCAAGAAATGCATCGTCACCTCACATGTCCGTGATGTCACGGGTCAAGTAGTACTTAAACAGAGAGGGAAAAAATGTTCTTATTGTAAAGCTAATAGTAACCCTTTAACATGCTGGTATTGATTCAAAGGCCCAATGCCTCCGCAAGAATGTCTATTATTTGCATAGAGCAGAGGGGATACTGCGTAGTCTTTTTTTAAAAAAAAACTGTCTTGGTTTGGAAAATGTGGAGCTGCACAGAATATTACAGCACAAACGAATCAGAAGTGAAAATTCCCACCACCATAGACATTGGTCAGTGCTCCAACAGATAAGGGAGCCTAGATTCAATTTCTAATTCATGATAATTTAGCCAATTATAATTGAACTCAGTGTTTGTCAGGTAACGAAATATTAGAAGAAAATGGTCACAGTTGTCTGTCCCAAAGTTAAGTGATCCTTGTTGGGAAGTATCTGTACATGGATTTTGGCTGTGGGTTGAATTTGGTTCAATCGTAATGCTTTCTACCGACAAACAGCTGTTACTATTCACTATTTGACTAGGTCAGTTTTTTGGACAAACTCCAATAGGAGTTGAGTTCTTCAGAAAAGAAGCAGTGGAAATAAAATGCTTTGCAACAACAGCAATTATTTCCATGTACTAAATATTAGGTGCAATTTGTCAAGGTAATGTTTTTCTATACTGATTAACAGCCTCAACCCAAGGCTTTCCAGCAGCTCTCACATTCCAAGGTCATGAGGAACAGTGCTAATCTTGTCTAATAGGAACACAAAGTGGATTTTCTCCACAATGTAGTAACTAGCTTAATAATGGAAAGAAAGGCCATCTGAATCAAGTTATGCATTTCCAAGTGTTTAAACAGTCACTGACTATTGCTGAAAAGTAGCGATGCAGTTTTCATTAAGATGATGCAACTTTGCATTGTAATTATTTTTAATCAACCAGTTCAGATATATCTTGACACACATCTCTGTTGGGTGAGAGCTGAACTTGTACCTTCTATGCCAGAGGTAGGGATTCTACCACTGTAAAGACCCCTACAACTTGCAGAAAATGAACACCAAGTGTTTGTGAGTATTTAAAATATTAAAACATTTATAAATAATTGCAATGCACCCTTTGTTCTTGACATGAGTCATTAAGCTAGTTAAGGGAAGGAAAGTAGGGTGTATATTCACACAATCTAGCAATGGGGCTCTTGTGGTTTAGTGATAGTGCCCCTACCTCTAAACCAAGAGATGTAGGTTGAAGTCCTACTCATTCTAGAGGGGAGGGTATGTGTGTGTTGTGTAAAATTATCTGACAGGTTGTTTTGGTAAATATCTGAATGACAGTACTAGTTCCTTAATGGGAATATTGATAGACTGTGGAAAGTGCCTACTTTTAAAAGTTGAGAATAGTGCTTACTACTTGAAAGAACCTGAGGGATAGGAATGAAACCTAGGAGTAAAAAAAAAAATGATGGGTGTGAAAAACAAAATCAAATGCTGAAAACAACAAAAGACAACCTATAGTAGGGCTTGATTGAAATCCAAGTCTACACCATATATCAAGTAATTCACTCAGAGCAGTTGACTCGTGCTGCTATTTGATACATATATCTTGTAAGTAATTTTTAAAAGGAACTAGCTTTCACAATATCAGACTCAGCAATTATATCTTTCAAATTACTTTGTCACTAACCAAAAAAATTAGAATAGATAATTGTTTTTTAAAAATGCAAGCCACACAAATTTTCCAGGATAGAAAAATAGACAATATACCTGATTTCTATTATCAGGGCCATCTCTAATAACAACATGCACTTAATAAAGTCATGTTAAAAGCAATATAATTCAGATTGGCTTATTGGCAATTTAGTAACATTTAATAGATTCAGGGTTTTTTCTTATGTTTTGGACCTGCTTCTTTCAATTAGATCTATGTAAATTACTTCATATACCAATCAACCAAGAGGCACAAAATAGGCAGGTCAAACATAAGATTATTAGGCTTACATGAAGATCATTGCAGTGATTTTTCTTAAATGAAGAATTGATTGGCTGTGCTTATAAATTACCCTTTTAATTAGAAACACAGGTGCTTTGATGATGGGTTTAAAATAACATTTGGAGGTGTGTAATAGTATCTCTGGACAGAAAATAAAAAGAAATAAAAGTTTGAGGAAAAATAAGCAATAAATTATTAACCAGCCAGGTGGTAATTGGTTTTTGAATGGTGTGCCTGCTTGAATGAGCTGATCAATTTCAGGAAAGAATAACTACCTTCTTTTGCAAGTGCATGTTGTGTAAATGTGAGGCCCTTTTGAAACTCTTGAGTGAATATTCCCCCTGAATTTAATATCATAAAATCAAATTATCTGGTCACTGTGGCATTGCTGTTTGTCAGATGTTAGTGGAAATTGGTTGTAACATCTCTTATACTATAACATTGGCAAGATTTTATAGGCAGTAAAGCTCTGAGCATCTTGTGTTTGTGAAAGGTACTGAATAAATACAAGTTCTTTTTATTTTGAACATTGGACCATTTATTTCCATGTGTTTTAAAAATGTTATTGTTGTAATGCCTGATTTTTGTTCCAAGTGAAATTACACTCAAATACAGGGGGACTCAAATTTGAGATCAGAAATTGGTATAACTTCAAAATGTAAACATAGAACTGAAACATCTTAAAGTAATTTTCTTTCTATAGGACAAGTAGTGTCTAAACAGAAAGAGTTTGTGGAAAACACCGGGGCTATCTGAGTTGCTACTGCAGAAAGCCAGTGTAATGGGCTGCATGGAGCTTATCTACCACCATTCTATGAATTAAAACAAAAAACAAAATTCTCCAATAAAGCAGGTGTTCCTCCATTTGCCCAATTATTGGTCACTGTGCTTTCAGCCACATAGATCCTTTGAAATTCCCTCCCATAACTCCTTTGCCTTCAAGATTTTTTTTAAACTACCTCTTCACCTGGGTTTTGCAATGCCTGATTTTTTTTTTTCCCCCATTAACTTGCTGCATACATTTTTTTATTATGCCTGTTTGAAATACTGTATGACATATGATAAAGAAACTCATGTCTATTTTTATTTATATACTCTTTGAACTAATACTTCACGGTAGTGTTGTCAAACAAAATTCAACACTGACTCCCAGTATGACAAAACATAATTAAAAATTTAGTGTTCAAGTAATGTAGAGGAGTGGGAGTTTTAAGGAGTGAATTCTAGAGCTTGGAACCACAGTATGAACACAATTGATAGAGCCAAAAAACTTTCGAATATGCATTGGGCCAGAGTTAGAGGAACATACAGACCTCAAAGGTAGGAGGTCAGCGACTTGGTTGATGGATGAACAAGAACTTTATGCAAGTTAGTATCAGGGTAAGAGATTTTGGATGGATTTGAGATTTATATATATGCAAAGATACCATGTAAATTCATATTATTTTTGTTGAAGTACAGCATTATAAATAGTTGAGATGAGAAATAGTCCATCTCTGAGGGAAAATGTCTTGTCGAAGTGAAGAATCTATATTGGAGGTTACACTGTGATTCTGAAAATCAGCAATCATTGTACTAATTGTATCACAAATTCCCAAAATTCATTTAATTTGGGACCTCTTGATATCCATTAAAAAACAACAGATCTTTAATCCACCTTTTATATGTGCTATAATTATATAATTTTGAATCCAGTATCCACATCAGTTTTTGTTTTGCAATGCATTTCTGTAGTTAAGATAAAAAGTATGCTTCTGACAGGAGTGGAAATTATTTCAAAGGTTTGTGTACTTGTGGAAGGCCCTATCCTAGAGATCTGTGTATTCTCCTTTGTTGAATTGTTAAGGCAGGGACATAGATTTTTGTGCTGTTTCCTGAGAAACAGGCAAGAATGTGGAGCTGAGGCTCAAGATCAGCCATCAATTGTATTAAATGACAAAGTAGGATTGAAGGTCTACTCCAGCTCCTGGTACTTGTATTCTTTGTTTTAAGGGAAAATGTTTACATCGTTCTTGGATTAGCTAGCAGAGACTGAATATATAGCCTATAACATTCCCTCTGTTACACTGTCAGAAGGGCCTCAACTATTTAGACCTCTATCAATTACATAGGAAAGGGACCAAATGTATGGCTAAATTTGCCAATGACAGCAAAATAGATAAGCAAACCGTCAAAAGGAGGTAAGAGTCTACAAAGGGGAAATACAAACTGGTTCACTTTGGTACAAAGAAGAGATGTAGTATACAGTTGAAATGGTGGGAGATTGCCCATCTCATTCATGAAGTGGGATCTGAGTCCTGGTATACTAATGACAGAGACTTGGTATGCAGATACAGCAAATGATCAGGAAGGTTAATGGAATGATATTTTATTACAAGGGGAGTAGAAACAGAAGAATGGAGAAGTTTTGCTGAGCTATACAGGGCCATGCAGTAATCCCATCTGGAGCACTATGGACAGAGTTGGTTGTCTTATTTGAAAAATGATGGAATAGCTTTAGAAACAATTCAGAGAAGGTTCACTTCACCCATACCTGTGACGAAAATTTTTTTTATTAAGAAAGGTTAAACAAATTGGACCAATACCCAGAGTTGAGCAGATTGTGATTTTGAGGGGACCTGATAGGGTAGATACCAGGAGGATTCTTCTACTAGTGTGGGAGCCTAGAATTAGGGGACAAAGTTTCAGAATAAGATACCTTCCTTTTAAGATGGAGATGAGGAAAATGCTTTTTTTTTTTGAAGGTGGTTCGATATTCTGTCAGAAAACAACAGAAGTTCGGTTATTGCATCTAGTCAAAGCTAAGTTGGACAGATTTCTGATTGATATGAGAGTTGGACAGAAACTGAAATGAGACATAACCAGATCAACTATGATTGGCAGAACAGGCTGCACAACTGAATGGCCTACTCCTGCTCCTAAGTCTTATGTTCCAAAGTTCTATATTCTGCTACCATGTTTGTCTCGACTTGTCTAGCTGTGTGAGACTACATTGCCTGATTTTGCTCTTGTCTGTCTAATCATGGTGTAAGCAATAACTGCAATGGTGTCTCTTCTCAGATCCAGTTACCTCACGGTTGTGTAAGGAGCTATCCCTTGATCCTCTCTAATCCACACACAGCTCCCTCAGTGATGTAATCATAAATCATAATGTCAATTTTCACATTGATATGACACCAATTTCTGTACCCACCTCTCCTTCGACCCCTCTTCTGAAGTGTCTGACACTTCTCCAACAGTCAGTATAGATGAGTAGTAATTTCAGCATATTAAGTATTGAAAAGACAGACATTACCATCTTTGGTTCTCAGTGCAAACTTTCTCACAACTCTCTTTCGCTCTCCTTGTTAGATGTTTGAGATTGAACCAGGCTGTTGGACCTTTTGATGCTGACCATCATATACTGACTTTTCACACCAGTAAAAAGCAATCCCCTATTATATCATGCTCATGTGTGTGACATGCATTGCAGATAGCTGGAAACTGACAAAAGTTAGAACTACGTTTTGGAAACAAACAATTACTCAGAGGTTAATACTGTAGGCACCGCACTGAACAAAAATTGAAGAAATTATTCAAGACCTTTTCTTTACGTTAGCTATTGATTCCCCTGCAGCGACCCTTGTTAAAGGAATTGCAGAATTGGCAAGTCTGAAAGTGTGATTTTTTTTTTTTTTGGGTTAGGAGGTCAGAGATTTCTTTTTAGTCAATGTGCAACTAACAGTAATATTGACACCCCATCACCGTCTAACAAAGATATAACAAGAGATTCCGGAATATCACTGCACACAAATACAGCAACTGGGATCAGGTTCAATACCTCTGTAGGGTCAAGGTCTAGGTTTACATATGTTGAATAGGTTGTTGAGTGTTGGCATGTGTAAATTTACTCCAGTAAGAAGGGGAAAGGGAGTCAAAAAAGAAACTAGTTAAGACTTCACGCAGAAATAGATCTTTAAAAATACATGATTGTTTCTCGATTTCACGTTGCACAAATGCATGAACAATTTCTAGGTAACAGAATTCACCACAGAAATACAAGTAATAAAATGATGGAACATCAGTTAGGAAATGCGAAGGACACATTTATTGCACATATCAATGTTGTACAATTCTTCTGGACAATGATCCTTTTCCTGGTTCCATACAATTACTTTACAAAAGCAAGGATTTTAAAATTTCCATCCAAAGGATGGGTTTGGCTGTTCAGTTTTGAACACCAATTTTTTTAATTGGTAACAAATAAGTAGAAAGAAAAAGTCCATCATTCTTTAAATCTACTATCAATGTCATTGAAATCCTAGGACTTTATCCAAAAATGCTGAAAATTTTTCTGGGTGTCCTGGAGGAAATGGTTTCAGGGATGTGGAGTCCAATTTCTGTAACGTTTCAGAAAGTGTGCTGAAACAAGAATCACAACACAAGTTAAAAATGTGGCAAAAAAATCTGTTGTAGCAGTTTTTACTTCCTGAAACATCACTGTGATGAACTTGGCCAAGACATCGTGGCACCTTTTAACAGAGCTTACCTAATACATTGCTTACAAAGTAACTAATTTATGGTACACATTTACGCAAAGAACATTGTCTTCGTAAAACCAATGTACATTGTAACTCTTAAAAAATGTGTACACCGTGTAGATCAGTCATAATGCATCATCCAGAATCCATAGATTTTAAATAAAAGGGTGACCATGTCAACTTACGTGGAATACATTACAATAATTCACTTCCATCACTAATTCCCTGAGCTAAATAAAATCCTCTCAAAAGTCTAGGCACTATTATTGGTAGCTTTTTCCTGCAGTGATATTAATAATAACATTTGATAGATCAGTTGGAATAGATAACTAGTTCAAACAACATGGTTTCAGTGAAGCCCAGATTCCTCATCATTTTGCAGCAGAACCAGAATTCCAAATCATATGCTTTTTTTTGGAATGGGTAACCAATTTTTTTTCTAACCTTTTGCATAGTCAATAAGTTTTCTCTTTAGTTGACTGATAGAGACAGCTTGTTTTATGCAGTTGCTCACCACTTGTTCTAAGGTTTGTAAACTGGCACATATAAAACTTAGTACATAGACTTTAAGATAATTTTGCTATCTCCCTGATAACATAGTACTGCACCAAATGCAGTATTTATTTACTATGTTAAATAAACCAGAATATTTCAATCTAATGTCCTGGTTTATAATGGATTCATGTAGGAAGCTTGAGAGGTTGTATGTTATCAAATCAATTTTTTTTTAAACATTTATAATTTTCCAAACCACCACAATTCTAATGTCAATCCTCAATTATTGTAACTGAATCACTTTAATCAAAAGCATCCTTAAGAATTTCGGGTCGAGACCAATAATTGCTTAACCTGGAGTCACTGATATGCTATAGGAACCAAGTGTTTTTAAGTTAAAAGGATTTACTTCGTAATGCTGTCCTATTATCCCAAATTGACCACCCCTTTTTACAGCAATACTTCACCTTAACTGATGTACATTTCAAAGTTCCTTTATTAAACTATGCTAGTTCTTAAATTCCATTCCTGGGATGTGGACATCACTGGGTGGGCCAGTGTTTACTGCCCATCCCCAATAGCTTCAAGAGGTGAGCTGCCCATCTGTAGTCTGCCTTCTTGAACTGCTACAGTTCATCTGCTGTAAGTAGACCCACAATACCATTAGGGACCATTCCAAAATCTTGACCAGGTAACATTGAAGGTACCAGTGATACACTTCCAAATCAGGATGGTGAGTAGCTTATAGGGGAACTTGCAGGTGGTGTTAAAAATCACTCATGCATGTATGCACAACTAAGAAATCAGTACTTTAAAATATCAGTAAAGCAGACAATCTTTTAACTTCCACAGACACTCCTCTTCAGTGACGTTCACATAATAGGCCCTGTATCTTAGTTTTTGGTCAGAGTTGGCTATGCAAACTGCAGTTTAAATGAGGTGCATGGTACAAGTGTTAAAAAGAAAATATTTTAAAAAACAGTTCCACAACAGTTAACTCTTCTAGCTTTTCAGTTTTACAAATAAATAGCTACCTGCAAGTACAGTAGAGGAGGTGCCCATCAGTATGCAGCTGTTTGGCTAGTTCCAACTGGTGGTTGTTCATCAACTCTTCATTAATGACAACTATGAGTGACTTTCTTGCTTCAAGGGTCTCCAGACAACTTCCAGCACCTAGATATGTGTTGTAAAGAGAAAAATTAAGTACAGTTTTTAAAAAGTGAAAGTAAATACTTCTAACACGACTACATTGCTTTTCAGTATTCCTTTTGATGATACTGAGTAACTTGATTTTTAGTACTTTTTAAAAATTTAATTCCTGGTGTTAATGTCATTGAGGCAACTGATAGCGTCAAAAAATATTACATCTGCAAGTGGTCACTTGGGCATGTTGCTAATACTGGATCTCAGTATGGGACAAAACCCAAGTGTGTTGCTGACTCAATGCTTCAAAGGTTGGGCATTCTGCAGCGAGTAACTCCCCTCTTGACTCCCCAAAATGCTACTAACAAGGCATAAATCAGGAGTAATAACATAGTCTCCATCTGCCCACTTAAGTGCAGCTTTGACAACACTCCAAATGCTCAAAACTATAGCCTGAATAAATAATACCCCACTCATTAATGTCAACATTAACTCCCTCCACTACTGACGCATATTGCCAATAGCATGTATCTACAGATGCAATGCAGCAGGTGATCAACATTCTGACAGCATTTTCCAAATCCATGACTGCCTTCTAGAATGACAAAGGTAGCAAACACATACCTTCAATTTCCTTTCCAAGTTACATGCTGTCCTGCCTTGGATCTATTTTGCTACTCATTCAATACGCTGGGTCAAAATTCTGGAATTACCTTGGTATCAACATTGTTGGTGTTCCTGCATCCCAACAACTTTCTAACTTCTAACTTCTCAAGAACAATTAAGAATGGGCAATAAATGCTGGTCTAGCCAGCGATAGTCATATCATTGAAATTCTTATAAAAAATTTCCAAAGTACTGGATTCTAGAAGATTAGAATATGAAAGCAGGAAGATAATATGTTTTCTCTTAACAGGATAAATGTCTTAAATTATGACTGGATCTCACAGTGTAGATGTGGACAAACTGTTTCCGCATGGGAAAATTTTTTTCACTCTAAGTCGTTAGGGTTTGGAATACACTGCCTGGAAGCGTGGAGGCAGGTTCAGCTGAGACATTCAAGAGTGTTTTTGATGATTATCTGGATAAAAATAACATGCAAGAGCATGGGGCAATACAGGAGATTGGTACTGGGTAACGATGCTAGTTTAATGAGCCAGTACAGACACAATAGGCCAAATGGCCACCTTCTGCACTTCAACACTTCTGTGATTCGAATGAGTCTAGAACATGAGCATAAAAATGAGATTACACGTAACAGAGTACTTGAAGAATCTGAGGGGAATTTCTTCACACGCTGAATGAAGTTTGCTGTTCGAGCAGATAGAATTGATGCATGCAAGGGAATACATACACGACGGTGAAGGAAGAGGAGGGCAAGATTGGAAGAGGCTCAGGCAGAATATAAACACAGTCATAGATCAGTTTGGCCAACTGACTAATTTCAGTGCTGGAGATTTTATGTAATTGCCACAAGCCTCAGTAAGAGTTACATGAAAATAACAAAATTATATTTTAAATTAACAGCTTAATGATAGTTAACTTTCAATATGACAATTTTGACCCTGAACACTGCCAATTTCTCTTCTAAATGCATCTGGTGAGTTTGATGAGCTAATGCAGGTCAGGTCACAAATTCCATCTCCAGTCTGAGCTGTTAGGCAAAGTCATCCACAATTGTAGTCACAGTTTATATTTGGCTAAAGTGCAGCTGAGATAAGTAAAGGAAAATCGACCCAATTTCTGGTTCACTATCCAGGGACACTTGATTATTTTGTGTTCATGTTGGTGACAATAGAAATGACGTCAATTAAGAATGCCCCCATAGTTGAATAAGATTTCAACCATCATTGTTTTCTTTCACTTAATGGGATGTAGGTGTATTGTCCATCCCTAAAAGCCCCTGAGAAGGTGGTGGTAAGTCACTTCTGTGAACTACTGCAGTCGTATCCAGACACGTTTGTTTTTAAAAAAGGCTCTTGTTGAGATTTTCCTCAATGGCTACATTTGGTTTTTGCAGTCCCCTTTTTCACTGTCACCACCTGACTTACTTGGTAATGCAGTCACATTATAACAATAACTCTGTATTTGTCAGAGATAGTAAGAACTGCCGATGCTGGAGTCAGATAACAGTGTGGAGCTGGAGGAACACAGCAGGCCAGGCAGCGTCAGAGGAGCAGGAAAGTTGACATTTCATTTTGGGACCCTTCTTCAGAAGGGTCCCGACCCAAAATGTCAACTTTCCTGCTGCTCTGATGCTGCCTAGCCTGCTGTGTTCCTCCAGTTCTGCACTGTGTTACCTCTGTATTTGTGTTGATGTGTGATGTTTTTACACTCACTTGGAGGCAGAATTAGAAGAATTCATGAATATCTTCAATAATGATCAAACCTCTATTAAACCTAAAGCCATAACACAAGGAAAGCATTCATGTTCTAGACACTACATTATTTATAGTGGGACAAGACCACAGGCATAAGTTAAAATTTTTTTTCAAAATAACTGGCGCAAACATAAAAAGATGTTATCCTAAACACACTTTCCACTGACTGATCAAGTCATAGTTAATGCACTGCCACCACATATACCCACAAGTAGAACATTTTAGCAGATAGTTATGATCCTTCTTATTGATTTCAGATCTCAATCTCAGATTTAAATTTAATGATAGACAGAGTTCACTTAAACAACATCCACTACATTTTACCCTATCCTTAAACTAAAATTTCTGTATTTTTTTACAAGGACTTCATTACCTCTGATTTCAGATTTTCCTGCTTCTAGTTAGCAGGGTATGCTGTACCTAAATGAGCTGCCATGTTTTCGGTACTATAATCATGAGTATACTTCAGTAAGTACCTTGTTTGTAAAACATTTGGTTGTGTAAGGCACTTTATAAATAAATAAAAAAACTTTTATTTATTAAAACGCAATCAATACTTACCAGCATGACTGATAACAAGTGTAGCATTTTTAATGTCATCTGCTATTGAGTCCTTGAACCTATAAGCTTCAAGAGTAAAATTTGTTCCAACAATAGTCTTTGGTTCAACACTACCACGGCCGATCTGAAGAATGAGTTTTCTGTAGCCTAAATCTTGTAGAATCTAAGAATGAGCAATAAACAATATGAGGAGAAGGCCAATAAATCTGAACAGAGTAGGAATCAGCAACAAATCAATGTGGAATGTTGCTACATCAATTCAGCACAAATAGCTGTGCAAAGACAAGTTAAATACATTTTAAGGATTGAATTACATGCATCTGATAATTGTTTAGAAACAACTTCAGGATATTGCTGGATTAAAAGCACAAATCTTGTAGAAATCACAAGACAAGAAGGGTGCCTGAGAACCAATTGTTACTCTTATTTTTAAAATAAAATAGCATAAATAACTCAGTAAATAGTTATTTCTGGACATACCGGGGATAGTAGCATAGTAATTGTGAAACTGGACTAGTGGTAAAAAGTAATAAAATACATCAGGACCTTCACAAGATCTGACAAGCCACATAAGGAGCTATTAATGCAGATGAATTAAAGCTTGTCCAAAAGAGGAAAGCTTAAGTAGTGGCTTATAGAAAGAATGCAGGGAATACAAGAAAACAATTCCAAAATTTGGCCTCAGGTCAACTAAGGATATGGTCTTGAAATATGAAACAATTAGAATTTGACATGCTGAAGAGGGCAGAATTGGGACTAGAGGTGATAAGCAATGAAGGGACATCAAGAAAACACAGTCATAGATCAGTTTGGCCAACTGACTAATTTCAGTGCTGGAGATTTTATGTAATTGCCACAAGAATTTTGAAATCAAGCCATCATTTAACTGGGACTCGATGTCAGCCCGTGAGCACAGGGACTTTGTGTGAACATTGGTGTAGGTTCGGACACAGGTGGCAGAGCTTTGGATAACCTTGGGTAATGGATACAGTATGTGGGAGGCTAACCAGGGTTGGCTATTCCAGGTCTCCAAGCTTCACAGTTTTTTTTTGGTTTTATGTCAGACTTCAGACGTAGGAATTTACATGGGAAAACTTGATTTGATGTTATTTACTGCCCATCACGAAATGCCTTGGCAAAGGTGGTGGTACCCCTTCTCATCCCCCCCCAACTCCTCCTCCTTCCCACCATCCCCCCGAAACCCCGGGACCTGGCCCCACCTCCTACGCTCCTGATTGGTGGCCTGCCGCCTGCCTCCCGCCTCCGGATGTCATTTGTTGACGAGTCCGTCGATACTTCGCGTTCCCGGCCCCTTGAGGGGAGTGAACTCACCCGTGTCACCTTTTCCGAAGACACTTCTCGGATCAGCTCGTCGAAGCTGGTCGTACCGACTGTCACAAACACCGAGTCCATTTCTTCTTCGCCGCCCGCTGTTCGCGCTCAAGCAACTCCCACTTTCGGGGAAAGCCACTAAAGTCCAACCGCCACAGCAGCTGGCCGACCACAACAATGTCTGGAGTTTCGAGGCGGGGGGTGTGACCAAGCGAAGGCTGGCTCAGCGGGTGGCCGACCAGCAACAGCTCACTATAACAACTGACTAGTAATACAAGGGCACTGCTATAGCATGGTCTGGTTTTTAAACCTCCGTTCCACATTACTTCACAGCTTTCGTTCTGTATTGCATTTTTATTTCCAGTGTCCTCTCTCACCATTATCCACCAGGTGTTTGAAAGTTGTAATTAATACAAAGGTCACTCTCACGTGGGAGTTTGGACTCAGGAGGGGGTATTGTCATTCAAGCTACTAACAATGCAAATCCTGTCCTCTATACATGGACTTTTCGGCAGGAATTATCAAATCGTAAAAACTTCAAATGATTCAGTTTTTATGTTTGTAGTACTTTTTTTGTTAAATTTTATTCATTAACGGGATGAGGGTGTCACTGGCCAAGCAGCACTTATTGCTCATCCCTAATTGCCCAGAGGGCAGTTAGGAGTCAACCACATTACATGTAGGCCAGACCAGATAAGGATGGCGGTTTCCTTCCCTAAAGGGCATTAGTGAACCAGATGTGTTTTTCCCAACAATCGGCAACAGATTCACGATCATTAGACCCTTAGTTCCAGATAGTTATTGAATTCAAATTCCAACATTTACAGTGGCAGGATCCCCAGAACATTGTCTGGGTCTCTAGATTAACAGTCGAGCAGTAATGCCACTAAACCATTGTCTCCCCATGCCTGATTAGGAAACAATCCAGTGATTGAATCTGACAAAATGGTCTGAATGGCTATTTACCATATTCATAAGATACCTTTATTCAGTAAGCCTTGTAGGAACTTGTGCTCGATCTTTTTCATTCCACAGACAAATTTACAGTAACTGTAATTGTATAAGGAATGATACTATCCACTGGGCAAGTAAACATTCCCTTCCCCCTATTTTTATTAAAGATTAATCCTGGATTTTTAGGTACTGCAAATGGCTGGCGTTTGGAAATCTATCACCATACTTTACAACCTCCAAATTACAGAGAAGTCAGCTTCTCTGATTATTTGATGTGGACTGTGCATTCTCATTGGCATACAATGGTGCCCTACTATATTGCCCAATTGGCTCCCTGGAAAGTTGGTTTGTTTCCAGTTTACCATCACTAAATGTATCAGCTTGGACTCAATGAGAGATTCCAAGGGCAATCCATTATACTTTGTTACCACATAACCTGCCATTACACTCCCCCTGTTGTTAGTCACTAACAGTCCCCATTAACAACTCCTCACCCTCCCAGCTTGATCGTTAGCAACTCCTTTGTCTGTCCAAAGATAACAAGGTGTAGAGCTGGATGAACACAGCAGGCCGAGCAGGAAAGCTGACGTTTCGGGTCTAGACCCTTTCTTCAGAAAACATCTCCAGCATTGGCAGTTCCTGCTATCTCTCTCTCCTTTGTCTGTCCAACTGTCTTTCTCTCTCTTTGGGCTGTATCCTATCATTTACTCCCTACCCCACCTCCCTATTTTCTGCATATAAACTGACGTTTTCCCAGCCACTATCAGTTCTGAGGAAGGGTGACTGGACCCGAAACGTTAACTCTGTTCTTTCCTTCACAGATGCTGCCAGACCTGCTGAGCTTTTCCAGCAACTTTGTTTTTGTTTTTAATCCATTATACTTCCGTTCTCTCTTTCCCCCCCCCCCCCCCCCAACTAAAGATAGCCACTAGTCTGTGATGCAAGGTTGAGGTGTACTTCAGATCCTTTTTCAGCTTCATTGAAAGTATCATTTCCTGTTCTTTTCCATATACTTTACAAGCTGGAGTTGACCTGCACTGCCCTATATTTACTTTATATGGGAAGACAGCGGCGTAGTGGTATTGTTGATAGATTGATAGAGACCTGGGTAATGTTCTGGGGACCCAGGTTCAATAAAAATCCAGAGTTAAGAGTCTACTGATGACCATGAAGTTGTTGATTGTTGAGGGAAAAACCCATCTGTTTCATTAATGTCCTTCGCTGGTCTGGCCTACCTGTGACTTGGACCCACAGCAATATGGTTGACTCTTAACTGTTCTCTGGGGAATTATGAATGCATAATAAATATTGGTCTATCCAACAATGCCCACATCTGGTGAATGAGTAAAAAAAAGTTACCACCAATTAAATTATACTACTTAAAAAAACATGATATAATTGTTTTTAACCCTTCATGAGTGCTTCCAATAGTTAAGTAACAAAATACTTGGTAAAATGAGCTTAGGCTGTTTTATAACAAGTGAACATGGAAAGCAACATATATGCTCAGCCTCAGGGATAATTCAATCATATGACTAGTTATTGCAGATTAATACAAGATAATAAAAGCACCTACATTAGTGGGCTGTCTTGCTTCATGAGAACAAAATAACATTTATCATCATAATTGCCTGAGCCCAGCAAAATCTTGCCCTTAAACCTTTCTGTTTCAAAATCTAATATGTGTGCATTTCTGTTTTTTGTTATTGCTGCCTGTTGACAAAATGATTGGAGGTCGTATGCTGAACCCCCAGCATCAGTGACTTCTTAATGCAATGAACTTGATGGATTTACTGATTATCAAGTCAGGCACTCAAATTGATTATTGTCTATAATCTTTGTTGAATTGAATTAGGTTTATTGTCACGTGCTCACATGAGTATAGTGAAAATTCACAGTACAGGTGAAACCTGTCTGTGCTCACAAAATGCTGTGTGTGAACTTTCACTGACCTATTGAGTGGAGTCTAAATCCTTGCCCCAAGCACTCTTGACCACATCATGCAACATTATGAATCAATTCCACTAATGGCTGTGATGCATAAGTAATATATTATGACCTGGAAAATTCACCCTTGTTGCCAAAATAACCATCACCTTCGGCGGTCCCATAGCCAGCAGGTGCTGTTTATTCACACTATGGATCAAAAACATAGTGCAGCACTACGGATAGCTAGCATCTTCTATGGCCAGGAGGTCCTAGCAGTGCTGCATACTTGTGCTTCTGGCGAGATGGATGATAGGATGAGTAGGAGAGCCTTGGTATGTTGGTAGTGAGGTGAGTTTTGCAGAATAGCATAAGAAATTTCACATGTAACGAAAGCCCCCTTGAAACTCTCCAAAATTGACACATCTGATTTCTGGTAAAATCAAGCCTCATATTTTGATGCTGGGCAGATGGAAAGAAAAAAAACCTTGAGAGAGAAAATGATGAATGCTTCCAGACCAACCTGTATTACAGATAATTGTATGGAGAATTGAGGAGAGAAATAACTGACCAGCGTGAAGAGTCTGAAGTTTAAAGCAACCCTTGAAGTCCGCTAGGTAAGAACGATGGACAGAAAATGCACATAAAATACTGCTTTTAATATTGCTGGTTAATTTCCAGTTACACAACTTGTGGTGAATTAAAGGATGTGTTTGTTCATTTGGTTAATAAAGCATCGGATTCGTTCACCTGTGGTCTGCTCAATGGCAGGTGGAATCTCCTTTAGCTCCTTGTTTGCTGAGGTTTCATATTCAATTCTTGCCTCCACCTCATTCTATATTATGATTTTTGAATGGAGTTTGGGGTGCAGGGTTGCTGGCTTTTGTCTTTCTTTATCCATCCATGTTGAATTCAGATGGCCAACGTATTGCCAGTCACACCTCACCTGGACACAACCTCTGTCCCTAAGCTATACACATTACCATTGTCTTTGGCTTCTACATCATGAAATATGTCTTACCATCCAATCTACCACAGACCTTGCATTTTGTCTTCCTGCCGTCTCACCCTTTCTGTTGCCTTAAAATCGCTTATTTCTACCTTTCTTCTGCTTCAAAATATTAACTCTTTCTACGGCTACACCTGAGTATTTCCAGCACTTTTTGTTTTTATTTCAGATTTCCAGCATCTCAATATTTTGTTTGTATAACCAGCCCACAAAAGTTACAAACTCCTATTGAGATCAGTGAAACATTGGGTTAGTTTATTCGAGAGTTAATTGCTACTCAGCTTGGTAAACAGAATACCAGCTTTGTGTCTGGGTTCATTAACTGCTTCCAGACATTGCGACACCAGCATGTTCTGTTGCTTGATGTACATTCTAAATGCTTGCCTATGTTTTTCTATTTTTTCTCCATCATGACACAGGAATTTGCATTTTGCTAATATGTGATGGATAAGTTCTTATACTAGTTAAATTCTTACATGGTTTCTCATGCAAAGTCAGAGGATGCAATGTTTTATAAAGTTGCAAATATGAACCATCACTTCAAAATTTCATTCTGCAACGTGTTTTGAAAAAAGCTCAGGTAAAAAGAAACCTTCCTCCAACTGAATTGGTCTGGCACTGAACTGGTAGAATCCTAAAGTTGCATGTGGGATATTAGGCAAATGCTCAGACTGTTTAATAGAAATAAACAGTTGCATTTGTTTAGTGCTTTTCACAACCACCAGCTGCCTTAAAGTGCTTTGTAATCAATGCAGTTCATGTTTTTCTCTGAAGGAAACATGGCTCAGCAAATCTAGCAAACATTAAGAGATTAATGACCAGATTATACAATAGAATCCCTACAGTGTGGAAACAGGCCATTCAGCCTAATACGTCCACACGGAGTCTTCGAAGAGCATCCCACCCAGGCCCATCCCCCTACCATATCCTTGTAACTCTGCATTTCCTATGCCTAACACACCTAACTTGCACATTTCTGGACACTACAGGGTAATTTAGCATGGTCAATCCACCCAAACTGCACATCTTTGGACTGTGGAAGGAAACCAGAGCACCTGGAGGAAACCCACGCAGACACTGGGAGAACGTGCAAACTCCATACTCCGAGGGTGGAATCGAACCCAGGCCCCTTATCTGCTTTTTTTTGTGTGAGACTGTTTGAGTAATAAATATTACCCAGGACACAAGAGATAACTCCCTTCCTATTGTTCAGAATTGTACCATGGGATTTTTTATGTCTAAGCGGGAAGATGGGTCTTGGCTTAGCATCTAACCTGAAAGATGTCATCTCCAACAGTGCACTTCTCCCTTAATATTTCACTGGAACACGTGCTCAAGTCCTGGAGTGACACTTGACACTTGAACCCAAAACTTTGTGATTCAGACGTGAGGGTGCTACCAACTAAGCTGCAGCAGATATACATTGAACAGTTATGATACTGCCAATCATTGCTCTCTAATGAGAGATCTGTCGTCTGGTTGGACCACAGCGACTTTACGTTGACTGCCCCCTCTGGGAGCGGCACAGTGGCTCAGTGGTTAGCACTGCTGCCTCACAGTGCCAGAGACCTGGGTTCAATTCCGCCCTCGTCTGTGTGGAGCCTGCACATTCTCCCCATGTCTGCGTGCGTTTCCCCCAGGTGCTCTGGTTTCCTCCCACAGTCCAAAGATGTGCAGGCTAGGTGGATTGGCTGTGCTTAAATTGCCCATAGTGTTCAGGGATGTAGATTAGGTGGGTTATAGGGGATGGGTTTGGGTGGGATCTGGCTCTGAGGGTCGAAGGGCCTGTTCCACACTGTAGGGATTCTATGATCTATGTACCAGCTTATCTGTGGGCTGGATTCAATTGGAAACTGCTAACACACAATAGGGCTGAGGTCATACAAGAGAACCTTCGTCCCCACACAATCAGACTGGCTGTACTGAGCACGGCGCAATTCATGATAAGCACAAGTAACAAGATAGGTTAATATACAAGATTTACGTTAATGTTGATTTTTAAAAATTTGGTATAGATGTAACAAAAGTATTAGTTTCTCAAAGGAAGATTATTCTATTGGTTTTATAACACTGTAGACTGTTTCAAATAAATATGTTCTCTTAGTATTAATGTTTAGAATCATGTAATAGTTAAAAATGCACAAGTCTATGTTTTTATTTCTGGCCTGAATTACTAATGTGCTTATATTTAGTAAAAAAGTTAAGGTGCAAAAGTGTTTAAAAATAAGAACATTTAGTAACGAAAAGGCGTATAAAATTCAGAATTTCCATTAAAGTGTATTATAACGATCCCATCTTGTTTTCCTTGAGCAAAATGGTAACCACACCAATGTTACTGACATCAATAGCCAGTTTGAATTGCTTATCATATTACAGTGCTACTAAAACTGGTTCAGTAGTCAGTACAACTTTTAAGTTGCCAAAAGCACACTGACATTTGTTCATCCATTCATATTTCTCACCTTTCTTTAGCAAAATTGTGCTGAAATTCAGAGCAAACCTCTGAGAAAATCCACTCATGCCAGAACCATTGCATAGTTCTGCATTTGATCTCAGGCCCTGGAAAATCTTAGATTGTTCTTTCTGTTGTTGTTTTATGTGTAACTTGTTCTTGCCCCAAATAAGTAAATTTTGCTTTGGCAAATTCACTTTAAGGTAGACTTATGACCAACTGGTCCTTTGTAACCAAACAGTTTATTCAAGTGTGCCCATTTCTTTGGACAGACTCTTTCGCCCACCTCCAAAACTCACCCTCCACCTGGACCTCTCCCTCTGGACTTTTACCTGCACTCAACCTGTTTATTGAGAATTATCAACATGACATTGGTCGCTTCAATTTCTCTGAACCCCACCTCCCCTTACCCATTCCAGTCTATCTCCCCCTGAACTGACTGCACTCAGTGCTTTCAGATCCAACTCTGACTTTGTAATTGAGCTTGCTGATAAGGGTGGTGCTGTTGCTGTCTAGCGGACTGACATTTACATCGTAAAAGCTGTGCACCAGCTCTCGGATACCTCCTCCTACCTCCCCCCTGGACAATGACGCCACCATAGAACATCAGGCCAATGTGTCCACAACAGTCACTAGCCTCATTTCATCTAGTGATCTCCCCACCAGTGCGTCCACAATCAGTCTCCCGAACCAGCACAGCTCGCTTCGATGTCCTTCCTAAAATCCACAAACATGACTGTTCAGGCAGACCCATTGTTTCTGCCTGCTCCTGCCCAACAGAACTCATCTCTTCCTACTTTGACTTGATTTATTTTCTCCCCTTGTGCAGTCCCTTCCCATTTACGTCTGCAATTCCTCTGACGTTTTACGAGAGTTTCAGAATTTCCAGTTTGCAGGCTCCAGCTGCCTCCTCTTTACCATGGACGTGCAATCCCTTTACACCTCTGTCCTCCATCAGGATGATCTCAGGGCTGTCTGCTTCTTCGTAGAGAAAA